GCCTGTGACAGAACCCAGTAGGATTTTGTGTCAAAATGTATCGGAGGAAGCTGCCCCTAATGAAGGCAGTGCGAGCTCTTACTAGGATCTTAATTGCGAGTGAATTATTTCTAGATCTATGAGCAGGATACAAAGATTCTATTAATTCCAGGCACGTGGGCTGTGACTCTGCTTGTGCCTGTCTCTAGACAATGTCTGACCGAAGCAGAAAGTATATGGAGCTGCCAGCCAGAACAGTCACTTTGCATGATGTATCTGTGCCTGAAATAAAACATTCTAAAATGTCCGAGCATATTTTTTTTGACTATGGCATGTGTCGTACTTCTTATTTATGGGGAAAACTGTACATGCTGGCTTCTGAGTTAGCTATAATTCAGCAAAAACAGCTGCTAGACCTTGTGAGTTTTGGGGGGAAAGTGCACTTGTTTGCAAACCAGCCCCCGTCCATCAGCACAGGTGCTGCTGTCCTAGGAAATAGAGTGTAAATAAGTGCAGCCTGCCTTTGGAAGCCATTGCCGTTCCATTTGGCAAACTTTTATTTGTGCAAGGGTATTTCTAAAAATGCTTTCAGCGACTAATTCAGTTTCAGGGAATCAGAGTCCTGCACCATGGTTTGGATTCAAATACAGGACAGGATTTTTGTCAGAACTGTAAATGTAAGAATTCTAAGTTTTATCTGCTACCTGTTTGAGTATTTTCCTTTTGGTGCTTGGCCTTTGCTGTACTGATTGAGTGTCTTGCTCTGCTTGCTTAAGCCTTCAGTCTAATAGTTTCGTGCGTTGAAGAGCGAAGGAAGTAAACTGCTGTTACTTGCTAGGAGACGGTGTTTTTTGTGGCAGGCAATTGCTTCACATAGAAGCAATCCAAGTAATTTGCAATATTTGATTTTTAGTTTTGTGTCATTACAGCAGGGTTCAAAGTCCTGTTTGATGTCAAGTTGCCTCCTGCTGTGGCACATGCCCCACATCAGCCCTTCCATCTGCCCATGGGTGCCTCGGTCCCAGCCTCCCCAGTGCCAAAGTACCTTCCTCATGCTGCAAGGTGTGGGCTGCATTCTGGAGGTTCATACTGCCATGCGGCCTACGCTAGGGCAACCCTTTTGGTTGACGCTTGTTAGCCTTTCTCAGGCAGCATTGCCAGAGGCGCTCTCGGCTTGTATGGACATGACCAGCTTGTCAGTACTCTGCATAGGAAGTGTGCTGATCTCCGCCATCACTGGCTGATGATTGCTTGGGAGAAGACAAATTAACTATAATATTCCTTTTGTGGACTTGGACCAGTTGGCTGAAACCATTCGGTAAATCAGTTTTTGGTAGAGCTTGCTTGCGCTGTTTATTGAATTTGTAGAAGCATGAATGGAACTTGCAGTAGAAATAATTCCCTTGTCTTCATTGGATGTTAACGTGCATATTCTGTTGGGGCTGCGGTGCCTGTCTTCTGCTTCAGGAGTGCATGTTCTTCCATCCTTCAGTTGTCTCCTGTTCTTGCTTGTACTGATCACTCTTTCACAGAAGAAGGAAAATAATTCTACTGTTTCTTTTTGGTATTTACTCTTTTTCCTTCTATCTTGTCTAGCATATTTTTTTCTTCACCTTCAACCTCATTAATCTCTGGTTAGTTTTCCTGGCAATGAGCTGGAAAATAAGGTGTTCCGCAGCATGTGGGATCCACAAAATTAGGTATCTTGGGATTTTGTTTTTCCAACGAGGAAAAGGCTTACAGTAGAGTTCAGTTCTGATTGCACTTCATAACTCTCATTTTCATAGTGCGTGGTGATTTTGGATATTAGCTGAATATTTTCTTGCTCCTGATGCTTATGGCCAAAGGATTAATTATTGCAGCATATTTTCCTTTCCTCTGCCTTTTTTTTACTGGCTTAGCTGTATTAATGTCAAGCGCTTAGTATACAGAGAATGAGGAATTGAAGGGGGTGGCTTACAGATAGAATTGCCTTACCCTCCTGTCTCCCCTCAGGAAATCTGCTCCTTCTCAGCCTCTAGTTGTTCATTACTCTCTTTGGCTGTGGCCTATGAAATTGTTACTGAATTACGCCTTGTGTTTAATTGCACTCAAGCAGCTATTTCAATTTGTCCTCTGCGAGCTACTCGTATATAATCTGGGAAAGATCACCGAATACAGTGATCAGCAGCCTGCAGGCCTGTGTTTGCTACACAGGATGGGATGGGAGTTGAGGGGGGCGTGATTAATTATTATAAAGCCCGTGGGACCTACTTTCCCCATGACATTAGAGAGGAGTGAGTAAGGAGGTGCTGGGTGGGATGCTCTGTAATAGTAGCCTGGCCTTGAAGTGCGGCACAGGAATGTGTTTCTGATGCTTTGGGACTAAAAGCCTTGCATGATACATGAGAGGTTATAACCACGGTGCAGGACAAAGTGGTGATTAAGCTGTGGAAGTCGCCAGACCCTCAGTAGCGATGACTTGAGCCCGAGTTGTCTTTTGTAGCTAAAACCTGTAAAGGGGAATTGGTCTTCTCATCGCTAATATATTTAGCATGCTGGGGTTGAGCACATACCGAGTAATGTGTTTTCCATTTGTGGTTGCATTAACTTCTCTACTGAATTTTATTTTGGAAAACTTACTAAAAATGCCCATTTAATATCTGTCAGCTCAAAGTGACCCCATCAGCTCTTGTTTGGGTGAAAGGAAGTTTTGTTGGTTAGAAAGGATCCATGTAAAAACAGAGACTTTTTTTGTGCATTAGTGTACATTGATCTATATTGTATTACCTGTCGTCGCCCTTCCTGAAGGGTAAAGAGTGGTTCATAGTCAATCTTTTCTATGCATCTAATACATGACACTGTTTAAAAGATGAACTTTTCAGTAGAGGCAACCTTTAAGAGGTTTCATTTCAGATATTACAGTAACTGTTACTGTTGGTTGACTACTTTTTCTAGCACTAAATTGCAGGCATCACCTGCAAATGCTTTGTGTGAGCTTTGTGTGGATGCATTCAGCTTAAGAAGATGGGGGAGGAAACAGTCCTGTTAGAAGAGTAAATCTGTCCCCAGCAAACAGTATTTTAGTTATAAAGTGCATTATGCATCGCGAAAACCAGCCCTTATAACTAAACTTTGGAGAGATTCAGAAGCAGCGCTTGAATGGGTCAGGAGCGTATAGGCCAGCTTTGTAAAGATAACCACAGAACAATGACCTAGGTGGATGTGATTTTGTTTTTTTCCAGCTAGCCCATTAAACCCAGATAATGTTGCTAGCACTTGGCTGTCCTTTTGAAGTCCATCCTTGGGGCATGTAGTGTCTAACACTCACTTCCTGGCTGCAGTGCTTGTTCTTGATCTTGATCACTGATTAACAGGTGTTGAACAAAGCAACCCAGATTGAACCATTGTTTACATAACAATGGAACAGGCTGCCCAGAGAGGTTGTGGAGTCTCCTTCTCTGGAGATCTTCAAAACCCGCTTGGATGCAGTCCTGTGCCACGTGCTCTAGGTGTCCCTGCGTATGCAGGGGGTTGGACTAGATGATCTCTAGAGGTCCCTTCCAACCCTAAGCATTCTCTGATTCTATGATAAGTGTTTCTGAAATACAGTTGCAGCAATCCATGCTTCTCTTGTGTGACTGCAGTGAAATTATATATGTATCCTGAACTCGAGTTATAGCAATCCATACTTCTGCATAAAAGTGAAATGGTGCCTGTGCACACACTTTGATAATAGCTTAAATATGTGGTCTTGGTAGTGCTCTGAGGCTACTGCTATCTGCTTTGTGCAGATTGGCAGGTGAAGTTGAACCTTAGGCAGCATCTTATGCCAACTGTGTGGCCCCATCTTCTCTACTAGAAGGGGTGGGAGGGAGTGCGTGTGACTGAGCCAGCCCTGGCATTGCAACCCCTCAGGCTGCTGAAATATCTACACTGAGTTACCCTTCTTGTGCTTTAAAGAGGTAAAAGATGAAATAGGAAAAAACAAATCTCCCTGGCAAGATGATTTTGGCAGCCTAGCACAACTTGTGTGTATCTGCTCTATTTGTTTCATATCCGTGGGCTGCCTTTTCTGAGGAACGTTTCTGCTTGGAACAGGCCACTCCTGGTTTTCTCTTAGTTGACCCGTGGCAATATAGGAGAGTCGGTGTTCTGAGCCTCACCTTAGTTCTTGGCCATGCTAAAAGGGGTCAGCTGAACTTTTTCATCTCAAAAACATTCTATAATTCTAATGTCCAGTTTTCACTTGAAGACACTGAAACAGTAGAAACTGTTACGAATCTGAGACAGGGTGCCTCTCAAGGAGGAAGCGATATTGAGTTCTGCCTCTGCGTTACATGGTGGCAAGCAGCTTCCAAATGACTTTTAAGGCCATGGCACAGAGGTGTTCAGAGCATGGCAAGTTTCTAGTTGCAAGTGGCAGTTGAGTTACAAATTGGGGGCTGAGTAGATACCTTTGGAGGATAGGCCAAGTTCACTTACTGATGTGGGAGTGAAGAAATTGTGCTATGTAAAATGCTCGGCCCTGTTCCAAGGCAGGGATGGGATGTGGCAGTTGTCAGTACACATCATCCTTGCTATCAAGCACTGGAAATATATTTCAAAGTCTGATAATCAAAGGTCAAATGTAAATGCATTTAATCTTTTTAAAGACTGTAAAGAAATTAGGACCATTTTTGCGACATTGTTGACATCTACCTGTCTTTGCCTCCCCTGGTCAGTAATAACTTGAATATTTGTGTAAAGTCCTAGAATGCTGTTCAAACTAATGCATTCTCATAGGAGAAGTTCTTACTTCGCCTGGTAAGCCCAGCTAGGCAACTGTCGTTCAAGCCGTGCAGTGTGTTATCTGCACTGCAAGCAGTTTCTCTCAGCAGCTGGTTGCCAAAGGGGAGTGAGATTATCATATGAAAGCCAGTGGCATAGCCCAGACTTGAAACTGATTGTAAACTTTTTGTTATTGCTGTTCTGTAACCCCTCTCTCTCTCTCTTTTTCTTTTTTTTTTTTCTCTTTTCTCTCCATTAGCACAGAAAGAGAGCAGTCATGGCAGGCGATGCCATCATGGTGATGAGAGGCCTGACAAAGCTCAGCAAGGCTATCCTGGAAACACAGGCAGGGCAGCTCCGGGACGTGCTCCTTGGGGGTGATGCAGTTACCATCATAAAGGGCTTGCAGACTGCTGCCGAAGAACGGTTCAGTTCTGCCTTGGGGAAGATGCAGGTAAGGAAACCTTGTGGGTGCAGTTGGGCTATGTTGTTCTTCAGGGAACTTGTATTGTGAGAGTGGCAAGGAACTCCCATTGTGAATTGAAACCAACTGTACGAAGTGTGAGGCAAAAATGCAGATGATGGAACAAGCTGCAAAATCCCCCAGAGCTCTGTGGTGTGCAGTAGGTGTTTGATGCCTTGACACAAATAGGAGGGGGAAATTCTTGTGGAGTGTATCAGTTTCCTTTTCTGACTGTTTAAGGCATGCTGAAAATAGTGTTCTTTGCTGTCCTCATCTTGCCAGAGTGCCAGGTCTAGTTAAGATTGGCCAGCAGCTTTGTTACTTTTGGTCTCCTTCAAACTTTGGTCATCCCTCTTTTGACTGAGAAGATGAACTTTTCTAGAGCAAATTGGCTTTAGTTTGGTGCTTCTTCCTTTCTTTATGGAGATGGTGCATGTGACACTTTTTTGAGTAAAGCTGAAGGTCAGTATGTTCTTCTAGTGGAGTCTGCTTTTTGAATGAGGAACCTAAGGAAAACTCTCTTTTTTTAATGGCAGCTTCTATTGTCAGTATATGTATGGATAAGAACATCCCATTTGCTGCCTTCCTCCTCAGACAAGCCTCAGATTTTCAGGAGATGCAAGTTACCTAAATGAGGAACAGTCATCCTTTAGGAAGATACTACAAATAAATTATGGTCTTGAAGCAGAAATTAATGGGCGAGGCTTTGAGGTTTATTTTGTGCAGTAAGTTCAAACTATCATGGCGGTATCCTTTGGCTTCAGCCCTAAAATCTGATTGCCTGTTTTTAAGCTTGCCATTGCTTTGATCTGAGAAACACTCTAGGTGTATTTGTTAGTGCTTTGTCATGCCTTTGTCTTCCTTTTGCATCCACAAGACAGTATTTTCCTGTTTCTATGTATGATGTTTCACTGCAAAAGAGAAAATCTACGCACATGCACCTGCTGGCATTGCACTCTGTAAATGAGTGGTAGGAGAAGCTGCTGCCAAAGCAGGGCCTCTTAAGAAACCTGCAGTCTGGGCTGCAAGACTTCTCTGTTTTGAAACGAGGAAGGCTTTTATAGTAAGTGACTATATTTCTTGTCTCTTGATCTGTGGCAAGTTTTTGGCTGCCTGATGTGCTTTTAAAGATTGGAGTATGGAAATAGAGGCCGTTTTGCTTCCAGTTGTCAGGCAGTATTGTGGCCATGGTCCCCATACATAGATTGCTCCCCACCCCAATCCATCCCGCAAGTGATTTTGGTGCTCAGAATAGCATGAGGCCTGCTGCATAACAGGAAGGGCTCCGTTCTGCTTTTTTCCGTCAGGAGGGGGAAAATAATTAGTGCTTAGGAAAGAGCCTAAAATATGCTGCCTGCTTGGCTGACCACAGCAGGACTTAAAACCTTTTGATGGACCCTAATAATCATCAGTACTTCCAGGGTTTTGTTGTTACAGAGACAAGTAATTGAAGTATATAGAGTAACAAATAAATGAGAGTTAATGCTCTGCTGCTGGCTCTTGTATTGCCTGTGTCAGAAAGTAATGGGAAATACTTGGGCTCGTGGGGCAGTTGTTGCAGGTCTGAACAGAACAGAAGACAGTCAGGAGAAGCTTGAGTGTTGCTCTGTTTGGCACTGTTCTCCTTGCTTCTAGCATCTTTCTGTTTGTATGGATGGCAACAACCTTTGCCATAAATCATTGCTTGATTGCTATGTTTTGAAATTGCTAATGTCATTGGCCATGAAGGGCTGAGCTTCTTGCTGCATAGGAAGATACATGTTTTTGCTTCAGGTAGGGTTGGGCTGGAAAGTGCTGACCCTGCATGCTTGGGAGTGGTGAGAACGGAGGGAGCACACTGGGGTAAGAAGCACACACTGAGCATGAGGGTGGCTCTGTAATGAGGAGGGACAGCAAAAGCTATCTCATGCCATTCTGTGACTGTGTTTTAGGGGCAATGTATTACTTGTAGCGATCTCTAGAATTAGTGGCCCTTGCTGCTAAAGAAAATTCATTGTCCCATCAGTGTGGTTGAAAGACCACCTGTGGTCCCAGATGTCATAGAATCATAGAATGCTTAAGGTTGGAAGGGACCTCTAGAGGTCATCTAGTCCAACCCCCCTGCACACGCAGGGTCACCTAGAGCACGTGGCACAGGACTGCGTCCAAGCGGGTTTTGAAGATCTCCAGAGAAGGAGACTCCACAACCTCTCTGGGCAGCCTGTTCCAGTGCTCTGTCACCCTCACTGTTTAAAAAAAAAAAAATTCCTTAAGTTCCTGTGGAACTTTTGGTGCTTCAGTTTGTGGCCATTACCTCTAGTTCTGTCGGTGGCCACCAGTGGAAAGAGGCCAGCACCATCCTCCTCACTGCCTCCCTTGAGGTACAAGTCCTTGAGTACATGTCCGTACTGTCTTTTTTCCCTCTTCCTACCATGAATGACTCTGGTGCTAGATTCTGTATAAATTGCTTATCATAAAGGCAGGGCAGCCCAGTTGCATGTCTACCTTTTGATCCTTGTGTACCAAGTTTTAAGTCCTGTTCTTAAAGTATTTCTACTATTTGCTTGCAGGAACTAGGCAGGCAGCAGGAGAACTTAACTGATCTCACTGATGATTTTGGGAAAGACTATGACTTCTCAGCACAAGAGCCATCAAATGCTTCAATGGACTTCTCTGTTCCCCCCAGCAAGCACCATGAACACAGTGGTGAGGGCCCTGCTCATTCTTACACTACAAATGGACTTTTTAGAAATGTTGCTGAGACTGGAGATTCAGGCCTGGGACAGAAGACTTTCCCTGGCAAAATGGATGCAAGGTTATTTGGAGGCTTTAGGGACCCTGGAAATCCTTTTGCTGCTGCCTTTGGACAAAAGAGAGCTTTCCACCAAGACCATTCTTCAGTTGGTGGACTGACAGCTGAAGATATTGATAAAGCCAGACAAGCCAAAACTGGTTCAGAGCAGAAACCTTACAAACAGATGGTATGTGTGTGTGTTTTCACTAAGGATTGTTAGCACTGTTTTTCTGTACTGCACTGTCCTTACCCCTTCCTGTGTTTCTCATCTCTGACACTTTCACTATTCCATTCTTTTAGGGGTAAAAGGGAAGCATTAATGTTTCTTAATTTGGATCTCTGATTTTGCTGACAAGTGTTTCAGGCTGTTCTCTCCCATCAGCTCCCTGTATATCAGATATTTTGATGTGAGAATATGTTTAAAATACATGCATAGGGTCAGCTTTATACAAACAGGAACTCTTAATTCCCTGAGCTGTGAGGACTTGATGTCCTAATGCAATAGTGACAGGTCAGTATTTTACACCAGTTTTCAGGGTGAGATTTTGGCAGATGGGGACAGCAGTAGGCTACAAAGGTTTGAGGACTGCTTGAAAAGGTCTCGTTTGATCTAGAAAACCTGTCCCTTTTTAGCTAATAGTTTTGCCATAACCAAGAAGAATAGACCAGGCCTAAACTTCTCTGTGAGAGTCATGGCTTTCTAAGCTCTGTCTTGCAGCTTTTACAGAGATGAAGGACATGTTGCCTTGATCTCTAGTAGATTGGAGAGCAGTGTAGCTCACCAACGTCATTTCCAGCATCATGTCCTTGTGTGAGTCATGGTCGAAAGGCCACAGCACGATGGCCTGTGTCTCCACTATGAGAGAGAGAGAGAGAGAGAGAAAAGATAGTGGAGAACAGAATCTCTCTTCATGATGGAGAGATTTGCCAGAGTCTCCTCTGACTTCCTACCTTCTTCCCCAAATCCAGCATCAGATGAACAGTTCACACGTTCGGGCTATTGCTTCAGTGGAGCTGTGTGCTTCTGAGGCCTCAGCTGTCCTGTGTGAGGAGGAGGTGTCTGCAGGACTATTTGGTTACGTTCCATGAGTTGTAAATCATGTGTGGAAGGGATTGGGCATGGGATTGGGTTGGCATTGGGCATCCCAAAAATATAAGGATTGGTGATGTATAAGGTTAAATAAAACCTCTAAACCTCGTTGTCAGCATTTCTACCTTTCTCAAGGTCTTGTTCGTCTACTTAGTATGTGCTTCACTCTGGTATGGCTGGTCTTCAAAAATCTGTCAACATGTATGGGGCTTGATGTCAGAGAAACTTTTTGTACCTAAGTGCTATTCTTTAAGTGTGTTAGAAGTTGCATTTTTAATTTGTAGGTATCTGACCTTACGCCCAGTTCATTTGTGGCTTTTTTCCTTCCTTGTCTTCCTCCTCCCTTATTGCTGCAGCTCAGTGAACGGGCCCGAGAGCGCAAAGTTCCTGTCACACGGTTCGGAAGACTCGCCAACTTTGGAGGTGAGGTGGCACCTGCTTTTGCCAAGTCACCAGACTTGCCCATGCTCATTGATGGTCGACTGGCTGTGCTGCTTCTGATGTATTAACTGGTTCTGTTTTCTCTTTGAGCTTGCTGATAAGAAAGTGCTTTCCCATAAACAGCTGGCTTGGTTCAGAGCTTCTTCTGTGTATGGATCTTGGCTTTTCCTCATCATGACATTGTACTTTGACCTTTTTTTTAAAGGAGGGGAGAAAAAAAAAAAAGCCCCACCATATCTAACACTACTGCAGTAGTATGGCAAATAAAAATGTTTTCCACCCAAGCAGACAAACTGACCTTTCAAATGCATTCTGCAGGCCACTGTTTTAACAACCACTGCGGAGCTGGCCTGTGTTTTCTTTTGTCTTGGGAGCATGGGCTGATAAAATTGCTGGAGTTAGCTTTCCTGCTGCCGCTCTGAAATGAAAAGAGGAGTTGCCCCAAACAGTCTCTGGCAGACTGCACACTGCCTTGGTAACACGTACTGGACCCTTCTGTTCTAATAGGTGGGGGAGAGGAATGCAGGTTGTTCTCCAGTCTGCAGAAGTGTCCCAGTCACCTATATGTGATTCCCTTCTATTGAAGAACAACTTCTAGACCTCACAACAGGCTGTGCTGCCGTCAGCACAAACAACAAGTTGCTGGAACAATTTGAGTCTCTTTTAATGATTTTTCTGAAACATCTCCAGGTTACTTCTCCAAAAAGTGATTGAATATAGACTATTCTTTTGGTATTGATTTGAGGATGCAGAAGTGACAACACAAAGTTTGATGTACTTAGCTATTGCTCATTAACTGTTTTCTTCCAGGAAAACCATGAAGTTGGAGACTGAGTTGTTTTTGGCAAACTCTAGTTGGCATCTAGACTGCAGATGGGACTCGTATTATACAGCTAAACATCTGTATTAACAATTGGTGCTTATCTGATGTCTTATCCCAAGGTGTGTTTATGTGTCCCTGAGAGAAAGACAACTATTGCAGCATTGCAAGTGGGGGAAAAAGATCACAGTGGAGCTGGTCTTGCTTACCTGATCATTAGATCGGGTAGTTTCTAAACTGTGTTTTGTGACCTTGGTGTTTTGAGATAACTGCAACTTTAAGTGGACTGTGATGCTCTTGCAAGGAGCATGTTGGTCTTGAGGCTCCCATTCTCTTCCACAACGCTTGACAGAAGAACATATGTGCAAACTGTGCTGTGGATCTCTGAGGAAAGAAAAATATATAGCTTCTCAAATGCAATTCAGATCATTATTCAAAATTGATTATTCTTTGTGTGTGTGTCTGTGTTTGTCAGTGTTGTGCACGCTTGAAGGAGTTGGCAACAGGGACTGATTCTTTGCAGTGCAGTAATAAATAGCAAGTGAACTTTGTGATAAGAAAGGATGTCTGTATGCCTGTCAAATTTCTTTAACCTTATGCTTCATTACAGGCACTCTGTCCTCCTGGCATGCTTCGTACTCTTTAAAGAGCACAGGAGTCGTGATCTACTTTCTGAAGTGACAAGGTCATCTCTTTTGAACTGATTTCACTGTTGTTCATAAGCTCCGTTAGCATTCAAGCCTCCCTCCTAATCCAGCCTCAATTTTTATTGAAAATGTCTTGCAGCATTTTTAGCTGTCACATTCCAAATTGTTGGATTTATCTGTAGGTTGCTGACAGCTTGTGGATGTGAAGTGACAGATAACCACAGTTTCTGTGAACTTTGAGTCCCAAATCTGTGGGTATACATGCCGGCTCTTGGCACCTAGGACTGTTGTGTGAGGAAAGGCTGACTCATGCTTTGAGAGGGAGTATAGCTAGTTGCCTTTTCCTGCCCCCGAGTTAGAAAAAGTAACATAGAGTAACAAAAGTAACAACATAGAGTAAACAAAAGTAACATAGAAAGGGACAGTAAGAAAGAGATATTGCCGATAAGCAGCATCCTTTGTTATACTTCTGTTTACCCAGTTTGTGGTGTTGCCTCTTCTCTAGTTTTCTGTTTCGTGTGATTGAAATTTTTGACAAGACAAGGCTGTTGTATTCAGCCTGCCTTTAGACATAAGTCTTGTTGTAAAAACTGAGAGATGTTGAGATTTTCTCTTGTTACACACACTTGATTTCTTCCCTCTGAGTCCTTGCTGTAACAGCAAGGAGTAGTAGTAGTACTGTCAGTGCACTGGTTGGCAAACAGCAGCTCTAGGCTTTAGGTAGGGTTTTTAATTAAAAACAAACAAACAGAACTTTGGCAACATACCAGTAGCCTTGTGCTCGCAGGTTTTGGGATTGGAGGTTCTAAAGTAGTGTGGGCAACCCCATATGGGAGGACTGTCAATAAGGAGCACTTCTTAATTGTCCTGTGTTGTTGTTGGTTTGATAGCTTTAAAATCATAGGGAAAGCTTTTCTGGACCTGCAGGTGGGCCTGAGAGAGACAGTGCAGTTATGAAACAACATCAGTCATTTGTAGCTTGACCTTTTTTTGACTGCTTCTTATCTGATGAGAAGTGCCCTTTTGTCAAATTATGTCTCTATGAAGCATTTTAGCACTCCAGGTACTATGTGAGATATCAGGAGCTGCTCTGCTGGATGACTTGGTGTCTTAGTGCTCAAGGGAGAGATAATTAGGAGTACTTGAATTCTTGCTGATTCTACTGAAGTTCAAGTGAAATTTTGAACTTGGCCCTGGGAGGGAAGTGGGTATGGTCTGTGGTTTTACATGAAGGGCTGAGGTGATATTAAATGTCCCTGAGCTCATTAGTTGGCCACTGTCAGATATGGCCTCCTGGATCTTCGTGTGTTCCTGCTCTGTAGGCAGAATAGCAGCTTAAAGGTTGAATGAGAAGTGTCTTTCAACAGAGCAGCCAAATAAATAAACATCTTCTTGATGAAGGATAGAGATGTTTTTTAGTGAGGGGGAAAAAACTTCATCCAGTTACAGATAGACTACTGTATTCTCATCTCATCCCCCCTTCAAGGCTGGCGCCTGTGCCTTTCACCAGAAAAACATTGGCTAGTGGCAAAAACTGTGATGCGTCATTTGCTGCTTTTTTTTATTTGATTGCTCTGAAGCTCTTGGTGAGTTTTGGCTTAGAGTAGACTGTTTTCCTCTTAAATCATGAGCTGGGAAGGGCAGTGCTTGGGTGCCTGTTTTAGCTGCTACTTGCCCTCGCTTCACTGGAAGTCCATTCTGTCTGGGCTTTATTCAAAGAAGTGATTGCTGCAAGAGGTAATGTGTATGCAGCTTTTAGAAAATATTTGCAAACTGAGGAATGAGGCTGATTTAAGGGAGTTTTTTTGTGTGTGTGTAGGAAGCAGTTCCCAGCTGAGATGGGAATAGAAATTGTTTTTCTGAAGCCCAGCACAGTTTATCTGCCTTTTCTAAGAGAAAAGAAGTAAAATAAACTTGAAGTAAACTTAGAGCTCAGTGCTTCAGACCTCAGTGGTGGATGTTTTGGAAGGTCCTTGAGCCTGCAGTGTTTGTTCTCTATCTCTTGAGTCCATTTTCTTCTGTCTTGCCTTTCTGGCAGAAGTCAGAAACAAGAAGATTTGAGATGATTTAAAGAATCTCCTGCTACATCACTGGGTTTTGGCGGCTGCTGCAAAAGACATATAACAGTGCAGAAGATTGAAAGATGCTGAGTAGGTCAAAACCAGATTTCATTTATCTTTCTGGAGTCCAGATAGCTGAATTCTCCTGCTGTTGGCATGATGCCTTTTACAGCTGAGCCAATTTGCCTGTTTATTTCCCTGCTTGTTTTCTTTGCTTTCTTTTCCTTCCTGTGAACTGAATGAATCAGATGTTCTGGTGAATGTTGATTTCTCAGCCATGGTGCTAGGATACTCCTGTGGGTGATGGCACATTAATAATATGAGGCAGAAGTACTTGGGCTGCAGCTTGCCTTGCCTCTCACTTATTCTGTGTGCCCCCTCCAGCATTATCATGGACTAGAGCCCAACTTCTTTCTGTCATTCATGTGCTTTTTTGTATCAACAAAGAAATGCAGGGAGCTTGCAGTGATGTTTAGATGTGTATTTTTTTCCGAAGTTGGTTAGAGTTTTAAATCTCTCTCAAGTAGGTTATGAATTTAGTCTCTTTATATAGGACTGATAACTAGAGCATTCAAATACATGAGTGACAGCTGTGTATTATTTTCTGTTAGAGGGTATTTTTGCGCTCAGAAAGCTGCGACGTGTTGCCTGCGGTGCCTGCCATGTTTGACGTGCCAAACCCAGAGCACGGGCTGCTCCCGGGGAGGCCTTGCTGCTGCTGCGCCTGGCAGGCTGAGTGCAGCCCCAACGGCTCGTCAGCAGCCATGTCTTGTGCCAGCTGCTGAGCAAGAGGAACGCCTGTGCGCACGGGGCATCTTATTAAGCAGATTCCAATCTCAATGGACTTGAAGTGGAGCGTGTGCTAGAGATGCCTGGAAAATGTCTGCAGAAACACTCTGCTGTTCTAAAACCAACTGGCATTTTCCAGATGCAAAGTGATCTGCCTGCCTACGTAAAGTAGTGCATGTTGGAGGGTGCCTTTCTGCTGGTGCTGGGGGATGTTATTTTGCAAGGTGCTGAACTGTGGCTGTTCAGTGATGCTGAAAATTGTTGCAGAATGATAAATCTTGTTGGAATTGCTCATCCTGCAGATAAGGAAAGTAGGGGACCTCAGGAGTGACTTGTGCAAGGTCAGTAGGCCAGTGGTACAGATAAGGAGAATGCTCTTTCCTTCACAGCCAAGCAGCCTCTCTGGAGAGAGAACTTAACTCTTACTAACAAAAACGCAGCATTAGCTGTGTTCAGGCATTATGTGCCTCAACCACAGTTTTTCAGATGTGTGTGTAGAAGAGGCTGGGAAAACATGAACCACATTTTGGGGAATGGAGTGGTTAGTACTTGTTTTCTGAACTCTAGCACGTCAGCCTAACTTGTAAGACAAGGAAAAGTGAAACTCTCCACATTGTGTTTTGTTATACGAGCTGTGTGTTCTTCAGATGCCATCGAAAATGAATTTCAATTAGTGAAGGAGCAAGTAGCATGTTCACAAAACTCAGGGTCACACTAATATCCAGTGATGATCTTAGTGGATAGAGTTACAGTCTTGAGGAATTTTAGCTGTTAATATGAATTTCTTTGCTTGATAACTTGCCAGACAAACGATTTGATAAAAACAGAGGGGAAAAAGTGAGTAATGGAGATTCAGAAAAGTGACAGCCCTTTCTAAGCTGCAGAGGTTTGGAGAAGAGGCCACGTTTGGTGTTGTCCCTGTGAGAAATAAGACTTTTGAATGATCCCCTGTTTCTTAATGATAGATTCCATGTACAGCTGGTTGTATCCTTGCAGGCCTGACTGCTAAGGAGCAAACGCCAAAGATAAACATGATCCCACATGGCTGCAAGAGTTTTTTCTGCCCACTTGCTACCACATTTAGAGTGAGGCTTTATATGCCCTGAGATATTTCCAATTAGTTGCCGAAGGTTTGGAGTGTTACATTTTTGTATAATGCCTGGAGTTAAGTACCCTGCTGGATACTATAATTACATTGGAAAGATTCTTGAAGCCCTCAATCCAGCTTCAGACCTTTAAGCAGCTGCTAAGGCTTAAAATTGTTTATGCTTGGCTTTTTAAATTTTTTTAAAGCTTATGCTGGGAGTTCATTGTCCAGCAGAGTTTTCTTATCTCTCCCCTCTGTCCAGTTTAAGAAGAGCTGTTGTAATAGAAACCCACATGTATTTATTTGGAGTCTGATCTTGCTTACACTGATCAAAAGCAAGATTTTGGAGCATAACAAAACTTCTCTGGCTTTATTCTGGAACATAGATCTAGTCTAGTGTTTTGTGTCTTAATGTTTTGTGTCTAATAACTTAAAACACATTTTATTTTAGGCATGGGGAGGACAAAAATTTTAGCAATGAACATGAAAAAATCAGAACCTTTGGCAGGAGACATGGCTTATTTAATTGGAACCAATTACTACCAAGCCTGTTCAGCCAAGTTTTGATAATGACAGAGCCAAGTTCTGCTTTGGAAGTAATGGAAACAGGATAAAGGCCAACAGAGCAAGTGCTATGTGACTAGTCATTCATTTGTAGCCTGGAAAATCACTTTTTGTTTGTAAGATCAATTGCCTTTCCTTTCTGTCTGCCTGTTTGTATTTGCTGCTCAGATTTACTGTCTGTGTATGAGATGTGATTGGAGTTGACAGCGTGTCAGTGCTTTAATGGGTACTATTTAGGCTGTGTTTGAAAAGCCTTCCTTCTGCTTCCTCCTGAAGAGTGTCTGTATTTTTCCTCAGAAACCCCTTCGGGTTTTGAGTGCAAAAGACTAAGATTTCTTTCCTTCGTTTACTGGTCGCACACAGCTCTGTGCTGCTGAAGGGTCTGCACAAATTAGTTAGTTATAGTTTTAAGCTTCCTCACCCACTACTAAAGTTGAGTCTGTTCCTTATAACAAAACCTGCAGAAAATAAGGAGAATATGAAACAAATGCAACAAACAAAAACACACCCCACAGTTTTAACGTAGGATTTTTTTTCTAGTGTTTTCAGGTACTTGGATTGAAATGTTAAAATCGGGACATCCTGTCAACATTGGAAGCATTTTATTGCTGAGTAAATTTGTACCATAGCATATGCTTATACTATATACTTATATCTATGTGCAGTGGAGAATGGAAGTTTAGTCTGTAGGTAAACTGCCTCATGAAGAAAACTGTATGGTAGCAGACTTGGAAGCAGTTACTGCAAAGCCTTTTAATGTCACTGGTGGCTGCTGTGACCTGTGCCTTGCCTGATGCCAGCTCCTTTGGCCCTGTGCCCTTAGTGTGCAGCATTGCAAGGCGGAGCCTTTCCTGAAGGAGACATACTATGCAAGCTTAAAATTTTATTGGTACGAGTGGAGTTGTAATTAATTGATGGGGAAGAGGAAAGACTCACCGTGCAAAATGAGGTTCAACTTGTTTGTGCCCAGGCTTTCTCAGTCAACGCTACAAAACGTGTGGGGATGCACATGCTGTGTTTCCTCCCACACGCATGCCTGGGAAGCTCTGCCTGCCTTGTCGTGCGCTGTGTCACCTGGAGTTTTATCTGGGAAGCTCTCCCACAGTGACCCAAGGGCCTGAGATGCTGGGAAGACGTGCACTGCAAGGCCTGTCGGCGCTGCCGTGTGATGGGATCCACCATTGCTCGGGAGCTGTGAGGAAGCTTCAGCTGCTCTGTTACCCCCACCTTTTATTATCCAGTAAAACTAAGTATTTGCTTTGGGAAGGCAAGCATCTGTTTGGTATAGCTTATTGCATGATGAACCTGTGATGTAAAATCTTTGGTAGTTCACTTGAGTTTATTTGCCCTGGTAGGGGGACAGGAAACATTAGGCCTCTTGAAGCTCTGTTGGGAATGACTTTATTGGAATATATGTTTGCTTCCTCCCTATTGTGGTATATGGGGGAGGTCTTTACTTTCAAAACCGCATTGCTAATAGTTTTCCCCCGCTCTCTAAATCTCCCATTTCAAACCTGCAGCTGAACCTCAGCCAGAGCACAGGGAGCTCCTGCGTAGCCCTCCTTGGTACCCTTTACAGCAGAGTTGATCATCCCAGACTGGCCCAGCCTATGCTACCTGTCTGACACACCGGCCTGAAAAAAGAGGTCTAGGAGAAAGCAGTTTAGTGTTAAATCCTAAACGGCTCCATTGTAATAAAAACAGGAGGTTTCTAATCAAACTGTTTTTGCATCTGTGCATGTGATCACATGACTTGGGATTAATTACCAAAACTCATTCTGCAGTGGCTTGGAGAAAAGTCTTTCACACTGATTTGGATCTTTCCCTTCCTTTAAAGGACTAGCTGTTGGTCTTGGCATTGGGGCACTGGCAGAAGTTGCAAAGAAGAGCCTTAGACCTGAAGAACGTACTGGTAAGCTGTTTTTTTGCATTCTCATGCCTTTTTATTACTTTTTTTTTTTTAATGCACAGCCTACCTGCATAGTCGCTTGCAAGACTTCATTTTCGAAGTTGGGAAGGTGGTATGGTCGGAGTAAAAGGGTGCACCTACTTCTTGGTTACAGTAGTGATTCCCCACCTCCAAACCTTTTACTCATCCAGGTGTACTGCAGCCTCACCATGTAGACAAGAGGTGTATGTGGGAGAATAAATTCATGTCGGTATAACTTGTGTGGCTTCCCTGTAGCCACACCTGTGCATGCACGCTCTACTTGAGCCTGCTCTTGGATTCTTTTTCTTAGATTGTGTGAAACCATATAGTTCCACCAGTACAGAAACTGTAGGTGAGCCTGTATGTCTGGGAACTTCATGCTGCTAGTGGTTGCAGTTTGTTTAAAATGTCAGGCTGCTGTCTTGTTAGGAACTTGAGGGATGGCTGCCATTTCTCTCTTACAGGTGAGCAAATAACTTGGGTACCTGTTAAGGGCAGATTTCAACTTCTGATACTTTTGCGCTCCTCTCAGAGTCTCATAATAAGCTCAAAAGGCTGTTCTATATCTGTTCATGTTTTCTTGCAAGCTTGGTTAAAGCTGGGGGGACACAATATTTTTGCATTATATATGATCGTGCCATGATGTCTCTTCTCTAAGCTCATACATTGATAAGATGTAGCTGTAGAGAATAGTTGTGCGCAGATGTGTGGTTTAGGGTATAGAATACATGGGTGTTCTTTCCTAGAAAACAGCAAGTTACTCTTAAAGCTTCTGACTGGATTTACTTGTTGGTTGAACCCATAAAAGCTTGGGTGGACACTGCAAATTGTAAGCATCTTGGTAAAGTCATTGCAGGCTGTCTGGTCTTCAGCTGCTCTGTCTAGTTTCGCCAATACATTTAGATTTTCTCAGTGCCTGGAGGAAACTGGCAGCAGGGGTTAAGCTCTTGCAGCTAAAGGAAAAGTTGAGACCAAATAGTCCCTGGTTCAGAAGCATTGCTTTGAGATGGTGAGAATCCTTGTAACTTTACTGTGGACAGAGTAGCATTGTACTACCAGGCCAGCCTGTGTCTTCCCCTCCTCTTCCTTAAGGAAGCATAAACTTTTATTCCAGGAAGTACTTGAGTGGCTCAGGATGGAAGAAATTAAAAAGACAGCAGGCAGAACACACCCCTATGGCAGTGGGAGCAGCCTCTGGGCCCTGCAGGGTACTGCCCTATAGCACTTGTATTGTTGTGCCTCCTCTGCAGCCAGGCAGTGCAGAGCAGCCCAGCAGAGAAAAAGGAACTTTGGCAAAAAGCTGTTCTACTCCCTAACCCAAGCTCTTAGAGGCTGGGTGGGTTTCTTTGCTTTGATTTAAAAGCATCCGTGTTGGCAAACACGGCCTGTAGAGAGTCCTTGAAGGCTTTTGCTCTTGGTGCTTGCAATGTGTTTGGCAGGCTGCTTGTACCTGTTTTGAAGTGATGACTTTGCTTTTAACTGAGGCAATATTGTGCAACTGTTATTTCTCTTGCCAGATTATTTTCTAATTGGGCACGCCCCAGAGTGAAAATAGGAGCTCGCAGAGCTATGAAACTTGTGGGAGGATATGGGCTTTGTTTCTCTTCCTTGCACTGTAAGAAAGAAGGAGCTTTCCTAAGCTGCGGAGGTTCTGCCCTCAGAGAAAAAATGCAGTGCAAGAGTTTGAACTGCCCCCTCCCACCACTCGGCACGCCCCACGCCCCATGTCCTGGACATAAATTCATTCCACTGCAAACTTCTGCATGCAGCTGCAGCATTTTTGTTTGGGACTTCAGGGGTTATTTCTGCCCTCCAAGTGCTTTAAGTGGTTTTGTTCACATAATTGGTTTAAAAAGAGGGTGGACATACTCCATTTCCAGCATTAATTTTCTTATTAAGCTGATCAAGCAAATTAAAAATAACTTCCTGGTAACTGGTGACTTTGACAGTCTCGATATTTAGAGTGTGTATCTAAAGTGCATGGCTGCCATGGGGTGAGCGGGTGGAACAAAGTTTCCATGAATAAAAACCAGAGCGGGTGCCCAGATAAACAGTTGCCATTACTAGCAAAGACTCTGGATTCAAGGTCAATTTTATGACTTTTTAACAGCCAGCACAGAGCCGTTAGAGCAGGCACTGTGCACATGCTGCACTGGGCAGAGTCCCAGGGGCTGGAGCTGGCCTGGGCTTGAACATAGGGCTGTTTCCTTACAGCGGTGGGGAGCGGAAATGCAGACTCCTTTAGTTATTAGTCCCCAGGGCCTTTTTATGCTCTTGGCTGTTCTCTTGCCCCAGCGCCTCTGTGATGCTCCTAAAATCAAATATGCACAAAGCCCAAGCATGTACTCTATAGCAAAGGTGAGGGGATAGCAGCTGCAAGGTGCGCACAGGTTTTGGGGCTCGGAAAGGAAAAGGTGGGTCTGACCAGCACTGCCTGTGCTGTGCAAAAACTGACTGTCCCCAGGTGCTGGGTCAGCAGGAGCTCGAGCAACCCTTGAGTCCTCTCACTGCCACAGCTGTGTAGAGGGGACTAGCTGTTTGGTTTTTGTTTTCCATTCATTTATTTATTTTTCCTCCCCCTTTTAACAGGTAGGCAAACATTCTTGTAATCTTGAGACTGGAGGGATAGTTTGTAGCAGCAAAAGGCAGCTGCCATTTATGGGAAGAAATACCCCTTTAACCTACTTAAAATTGGCAGAGACATTTTGAATTGTGCTGGGTTATGTCTCCATTTCATCTCCCTGCCTCTTGGAATCCTATCATGATTTTATGGGGGGTTTTGCATGTTTATTTTTGTGTGTGTGTGTGTGTGTGTTTTTCCTTCCTCCTCACTTCCTTTTCTTCCCCATGTGCCAGTCATAAGCTTGGTTTTGACTCTACTTCATGCTCCCTTTTAGCAATGTGCAAACCCAAGCAGTAACTAAGGGAGCGTGGCTGGGCTGACTGGTGGCCCTATGGCTCGACGTCCAGGGGAAGCAGAGTGTGGGCAATGCCTCTGCTTGGCTCTTGCTCTGGTAGGACTGTTAATGATTAAAGTCATCTCCAGGACCCAGTGAATCTTGACAAGTAGGAAACAGTCTCCTTTTCCCAGCTGTAGATTCTGAGGAGGGAGTGTAGGGAGGGGTGTGTGTGTGTTGGTAGATGTGCCTACATGCATGGGTAGGGAGGGAATGAAGCATGAAAAGAGGGTAAGGCTTGGATTTGGTAGGTTCCCTGGCTTCTATGTGTCTATGTGTATTCTCTAAGAAGCCCCTCATAAGGGCTTCTTATGCCAGTTAGAAACCATATTGCATGCTTAGTCTTCAGTCTGTATGTTTTGGGCCTTGTTCTGTGGCAGTTGCATTTGAGTGACTGCTGATGGAAGTAAGGACAGAAGGGTTTATTTTTCTTCATGTGCAGGCTCCAAGTACAGTCAGAATAAGGGGCTTTAGCTGGGCAGAATTGTGCAGTGGCAAGTTTCCTGCAGGAATATGGCAAGGAACAACATGCATCTGTGAAGATGTAAGCGGGAAAGCTTGGCAATGCTGGCAGCCGAGATTAGTTTCCCCAGCGGCAATGTTGTCCAGGAAGAATAGAGTATCACAGATGAGTGCTGGGCTTCTGCTGTGAGGACATTCTGCAGCCTGCCCAGGCTTTGGCTGGCTTGGTAACCACATCTGATACACAGCCTGTAATAAACAGTTTTTAAAATGCTGTGTGCAGGTGGTGTGTGTTGGAGTTACGGTACTGGGACAGGTTGTCTGTTTTGCCGGTGCATCAGGAAGACAGTAAATTTCAGGCAGGAATGTTAATACAGGCTTAGAGGGGTAATGAGAAAACCGTTTGCCCAGTACGAGTGCCTAGTGCATGCTGTAAATGTGTAGCTTCAAAATGTGTTTAGGTGTGAATAAGCAAGAATTGGTGGGTATGGGGAAGAAGTGTGAATCCCTGCTCCTGCCCTAGGAAGTGCCAGCACATCCCTGGTCTATCCCACTGTGCTGTTAATGCTTTTGATCCTCTCCACCCCTTGCTGTGGCTCCTCTTTACTGCTCCTCTGAGCCCGTGACTGCCTTCAGCCTGCGACATGGGCTTCAGCCTCGCACAGTGCATGGTGTCCTGAGCAGCAGGTGCAGCAACAGCATCTGCCTGAGGTCCTAGACAGGCCTGCACAGCCCTGTGCTTTGGCTGGCTGCCCTTGGCCCTCAAGCCAGCAAGGCCAGAGTTGGTACAAGACACACGTGCATGAGTGTGGTCTGTCCTGGTTGCAGTGAAAACAAGGAGCATAGCCTAGTTTGGTTTTCTGGGGAAGGGTGAGCAACCTGCTGAGTGTGGAGTAGTATGATGGAGTAAGCTCTTGGAGGTAAGAGTGCTGCTCATCTCTGTGCTATCTCCTTGTCCTCAGGAAAGAAAGCGGTGATGGATTCCAGCCCATTCCTGTCAGAGGCCAATGCAGAAAGAATTGTGAGAACTTTGTGCAAGGTCCGGGGAGCAGCGCTGAAACTGGGACAGATGTTAAGTATTCAAGGTGAGTGGTAGTGTAAGCTCTCAGCTACTCTCTGAGGTGGGGTGGAGAATTTCTTGTCATGTTTGGGATGAGTCAGGTGCTTTGAATCAAAGACAATTGAATATGGAGGGCTTAGGTGGCTTTTTCCTGCAAGAACTGTGGTGGTGGTATATCTGATTGAGTTCAGCCTGCTTGTAATCTGTAGTGACTTTGTTTGCAATGTACCATCACCTGCTTCCTCTTGTGCCTCTGGTGTGAATCTGAGTTCCCTTGGGCACGCAGCTGCTCTGATCAGAGTCAGCTCACTTGATGCAGAGGTAATGTTCCTGGAATAGGGGGGAAAATGAGATGACTGCTCTGTGAATATTAATGTCTGAATTAAAAAGCTACTCTTGAAAAGCAGAGGGATGTTGCACTGAGTAGTACACAGGTGTCCTGCTGGAAAGGAGGAAGTTAAAAATGTGATGCTCTTCTATGATCACTAAGTGTGGTCAAAAACACATACAGAACCCTCTCCCATTACAGCTGTCTGTTAGTGGTTTACGTGTCCAGGAGCTTTGCTGGAAAGGCCAGTGCAGCTGATAAGCCTTTTGGGTAAACTTAGCTGAGTTTTCATCTTGAAGGGATTTCAAACTGATTCTTGATCCAACAGGCCTAAAGTCAGAGATCAGAAGTGAAGGTGTGAGTGACATCTGTATCTTTGTACAGAGTTGTTAGGTCACTCCTGGGAGATAGCAGGTGTACAAACAGTGTCTGGCACTGTCCACCTCTCCTTTCTGCCCAGCTCATTGGGGAAGGGAAGAACTAGCCAAAGATAGCTGCTGCGCTTGTTTGGAAATAGCTTTCAAGATGTCACTGAAACTGAGTTGGTGTCTGAATGCCTGAAGTGCTTGGCTTGTGCTTCTGCTTGAATTTAAGTGCTGACTGCTGATGCTGGATCCAGGGAGATACTAGATAACTTGAGCTAGCTGAAAGAGCATGGGTGGCTGGCTGTCTTGAGAGCCCTGCCTGTGGCACTTGTCTGTTCATTTGCTAGTTACCTGTCCCAGGTGAGTGCTGTTCCTCCTGCCAAGCTGATGGCAGCCCTGGCAAAGCTGGGGAAAAGGCTGCAGCCCATGTGCCAAAGGCTGCCACTAGGATACTGCTTTCTTGCTTTCTGGGAGCTGCCACATGCTGACACTTGTGTGTAGCTTGTCCTCCGCCTTTGCTCATGGGGCAGGTTCAGGAGGAGCATTTCTGCTCCTTGCTTTGTGTGGACAGACCCTCTGACACCTGGGGTGAGCAAAGCTGTGTCTGGAAATGAGCTGTGGAGCTAACTTATCTACCCTAGGTGAGGCTCTGCTTAAGATATTTAAATACTATTATGTGTTATACCTGATGTGTGTCGAGAGGCTGATCACAGCTCAAGTCCTGAGCTTGAGTGTGAGTGAAGGGGCAACAGCTGTGGAAGGCCAGCTCTGAGGCGCAGAGATGCTTGGGATTTTTCTCATTTGTCTGCTGTCTCATAATGCGGTTGAACTTTGGCAGCAGTGTAAAACACTTGCCGATTAGCTTCACTTGGATGTCAAGAGCCCAGATGCCTTTAGCAAGCTCAGGGTTGCTGGCTAAGCCTCCCATGAAGGCTGCAAGGTGCCTGGTGACCGTGCTGCGGGGCACTCGGGTGAAAGCTGTTTCCAGTTCTGCAGGGTAGCTGGCTCTTGGGCTGGCCATTTAGGCAGGAGGCAAGATATTTGTGACAAAATATTTGTTTGCGAAATCCTTCTGACTCGAAGTAAGTTATTTCTGTTCTGCTGAGTTTTCTTCTGCACAACTCCAGTTGCTTTGCATTTTGGTAGCTGTTTACAGTACACACCCCTGGCTGATGGGGACTTGATTGAATGTTTGATTGAACAAAGCCAGTGAATGCTATTAACAGCTGATGCTTTGCCCCAAAGTGTAAACTTTCTCAGTACACTTTCTGGAGTGTTTGTGCTTTGGTTTTCCCTTGGTAAGTGAGAAGGTGCGCACAGGAACTTTCTCTGGCTGCAGCAGGAGATAAACCTAGGAGGGACTTGGGGAAGAGGCAGGTTTTGTGGAGCAGTGAACAGCAGGTAGCTCTCCTGCTTGCTGCTTGAGCGTAGGACTTCGGTTTGCCTCACTCCTCAAATGTGTGATGCTTCAGGAGATGAGCCTTGGATGCCATTTCTGGGTAAGGAGAACTTCAGAGATAGAAATAATTTTAAGAGCCTTTATCAGGGGATGCTCATAGGCAGGAAAGACTGGTGGATGTGCATGCAGCTAAGCCCTTATTTATGTGCTGAACAAGAAGAGGAGTCTGTGGCCCTGCTTTGACTGACTCTGGTGCTTTTCCCGGCAGACGATGCCTTCATCAACCCTCATCTCCAGAGGATTTTTGAGCGTGTACGTCAGAGTGCTGACTTCATGCCTATAAAGCAGATGATGGTGAGGAATATTCCTGCTTATCAGGGAAGAGGGGTCAGTAACCAAATAAATGTTACCTGTGACTTAACCAAACAGGGAACATGGGCTGGTGTTTTTAAGAGTATTATTTCAATAAGTATTGCATCCCTTAATAGTGGATGAGAAGTGATCTTAATTCTGTGATGCTGTTCTCTCCCACACATGGAAGCTCAGCTCTGGACAGAGGAAAAAATGCATCTTTTACACCCTGAGGCTATGGTGCTGGAACAGGATGATGCTGTTATATAGGTTTTGTATAATGTAGTCTCTTTCTCCTGTTTGTTACCTTTCTGCAGTTTTGCTTTGAGAGGCTAAGCCAGTGTCTAAACATGCTTAAATCTCACTTTAGAAACAGACTTACAAGCCTACTTGGATGGAAGATTGACAGAAACTGTTCTTACTGTTTTTGATAAAAACTTAATCCACCTGCAAGCAGGGTTGGAATGAAGTAAGCCAGGCTTAACTTCCTCTATGTACATGTTCTGCTGTGACAGTTTGGCAGTGTAACAAAAGCTGTTCAAGTGGGCTGTAATTTTTAATTATCAATATTGCCTTAAGGAGAGTCTGTCTTGAGTATCTGGACAGCCACTCTTCAGCTTGGCAACGTGATGAAAATGGAGGAATATCCGACTCATTTTCCACAAGCTTACAGGTGGCTTCAAATAGTGCTTTGTATTTGTACTGCCCAAGATCTCTGCCCTTTGGATCTGTGCGAGACTCTTCTGTGGTGACCTGGGTGAGCAGAATCTGCTTAGTGCTGGGTCTGCAATCTTGTTTAAAGACAAGGAAGGAAAAACAATCTAGAAAGCAGGGGCAGGCACTGCAAACTGCTCGAGGCTATGCAAGTTTCCTTAGAGGAACATGATCTCTGATAAGGAAATCTTAAACCTTTGTTTTCCATGTTCTAACCCTTTCCTTTTTATTTGTAGAAAACCCTGAACAATGACCTTGGCCCCAACTGGAGAGATAAGCTGGGGTCCTTTGAAGAGCGTCCCTTTGCTGCTGCGTCCATTGGCCAGGTTCACCTGGCACGCTTGAAAAATGGGAAAGAAGTTGCCATGAAAATCCAGGTGAGCTTTACTGACTAGCCTCATCTCTTGCCTGGGCCCCGTAGAAGGGCAGTGGAGTTGCTACACAAGAAACATCTAATGTAAGTAAAACTTCAGCTTCTGCAGTGTCTCAGCTAATGTAAGCAGAGGGGAAGGACAGAAACAGTTTTGCTGCTTGAGCTGGTTTGAACCTAGATGATGAAGCTCTTTCTCACAGGTATCGCCCTGCAGAGTAGGGGCAATGCTGGAGGAGGACTGTTTGTACCTCCTTAGCTCTGCTGCTGAGTGCAAGGAACCTGCATGTTCCATAGGTCGTGTCCCCTTTTAGATGTGCACAGCTCCCCTTTCTGGTCACAGCCTGAAGGTTCCTTAACCTTCAGTTTAAGGATGTTTGAAATAACAAGCTGAACATCTGCATGTCAAGCAGTGGCAATTTAATGCAGGGTGTTCACCAACTCCTTATGAAGCTGTCAGCAGCTTGGGCCTGATATTCGTAGTGGGAATGAGTTCTGGAAGCCACGTGCTCTAAGGAGCAATATCTCTTGCCAGCTGAGCAGGCTCCCAGGCAAAGCTAGACATCTGGATGGTGGCCTGTTTTCTAAGGCAGGGATACTCTGAAGCAGCACCAAGGGATGCTGGTGGTTGCTTCTCAGGCCCGTTGTGTCCAGGGTACACTCTGAACCTAGGCCAGGTTACAAGCAATGGGAAGCTAGTGCTGTGGCCTCAGTGTAGCCAGATCCACAGCATGGTTTCGGCTGGCTCCCTTGTCAGCTTGGGTGAAGAGGACACATTTGTTTGGACTGGGGCCATACCACCTGCCCTGTTGCTGTGGGTAAAACCCTCTGGGGCAGTCGGTGCCGTGTGCTGGGAAGTGACTGATTGGCATCTCAGTGTTGCTGGGGACATGTCTGAGGACTTCTTTAATGTACTGTAAAAACCCATGTCAGAGGATCTGAGCAGGCTGATTTGCAAGGACTGAATCTTAGCTCCTCTTTGTCCCCTCACTTTAGGTGCTGGACACTGAGCAGACTCTCAGAAGAGGCCTGTGTGCCTCACATGTGCCCGGTTCACAGCCAGGCTGTGAGTGGCTGTGGCTGCGGTTCAGTCCACATTGAACTGGAGGGGGTTTCTGTCTCACCCTGAAGAGCAGGGTATCCTGGGTTCCACTAGTGTCACCACTACCTTTTTCCTTTATGTCCTGCAGTACCCTGGAGTTGCCCAGAGCATCAACAGCGATGTTAACAACCTGATGACTGTCCTGAGTATGAGCAATGTTCTCCCTGAAGGTAAAACAGCTGGGACCCTTGACAGAGAGTGGTGGAGCATGCAGGTGTAGGGGTCCCACACGAGTGGGGTCATCCAGTCTTTTGCCAGTACCTGTGCAGGGTCTGACAGCTCTTTATTGCCTCTGGCACACACCGAGTGTTGCCAACCCCTTCCAAGCAACATGTTGCACACCTGTGTCCATAGATTAGAGATCAGAAATGGCCTCAAGAAGACAGACGTGACTTGGGAAGAGTCAGCACACGAGCTGAGCTCCCACAGAAAGCAGGAAAGGCAAGGAGTGCAGGGCCGGCCTGTGGAGCTCTGCTCCCAGGTACCAAAGTGCTGCTGGCTGAGAGGAGTGTGTGCCTGTCCGTGTGCCCTGCACACTCTGAGCAATGTTCACACTACGTAGTCTGGCTTTGTCCCCACTCTTTTCTGATATGAACTCCTGCATTTGGCAGAATTCCTTCTTCCCCGCATTTCATATATCCCTCTGTACCTGTTATTCCTTTCTTTTCCTAGTCAAGAATGGAAGGGAGGTGGAAAGCTGCCATGCTTGGAGCTTGCCCCGTGTCCCGGCTCATGGATATGTATCATCTTTCTCTAGTGATGCTAGCACTTGCTGTTCTGTACTCACCTGCCTGGCAGCAGTTGGGAATCTTTGTGGGAAATGTGTACAAATGGTGCTCTTAAATCAGGCTGCGTGCTGACAAAAACTGGGACTGTCCCTCTGTGTTGGCAGGGCCCATATGCTGCTGCAGTCCCAACCATGGCTCCCCAAGGAACAGCAGAGTTTTTCAGCTCCAAGACTGGAAAAAAACAGACTTGGCAACTTGGGCGCTGGCTACCTCTTGCTTCAGTTCACTTTCTCAGTCATGCTGACTGCTGTGCCCTGCTGTGTCTGCTCCTGGATACAGGGAGATGCGGTTTTGCAGCGTTATTATTACTATTATTATTTTGCCCAGGCTAGTTTTCAAGTGCTTCTGCCCCTAGCTGCATTTCTCACCTTACCCCCAGGTAAGGGCTCCTGCCCTAACCCCAAGAGCAGGTATGAACAGCTTGGGCTGTGGGAGAAAGGAGAGAATAAGACTTTGCTTTAGGAGCAGCGCTGTAGCCGTGGTCTGGAATTACCTGCAGAACCTGCGTCTAGCTGGAAATACAGGTCAGCTCCATGAGGCTCTTTCTCGCTTGCTGAACTTATTTGGCTCACAGGTTCCTCCTTGGTCCTGCTCCATCCTCCTTAACGAGCTGGGAAATGTTTAGCCTGAGGGATTGTGTGTGTGTGTGTGTGTGTGTGTGTGTGTGTGTGTGTGTGTGTGTGGTGTTTTTTTTTTTTTTCTTTCTTTCTTTTTTTTTTTCCCTCCTGCCTCACGTCTAACTTTATTTTCTTGTATCTGCCCTTCTGCTTTCAGGTTTGTTCCCAGAGCATTTGATTGAAGTTCTGAGCAGAGAGCTAGCCCTGGAGTGTGATTACCAGAGAGAAGCTGCCTGTGCGAGGAAATTCCAGTAGGTTCATGCCGTTGCACTGAGCCTCTTCTGTGTGTGCATGTAATGCAGGAGGAGCTATCTGCTTTCCAGGGATCCTAGGGGGTGAATGCCATGCCCCTGGGCTGTAGCACAAGGCGAGCTCTTGGTGTTTATGCCCCAACATTACTGCCTCTTCTCTGACAGACATGTTTTTGTCAGTCAGATGTGCAGTACGGGGGTGATGTGGGCAGTTCCTATCTCCTCTCCTTCAGCATGAGCCTGTTCTACATGCAAAGCACTGTAGTGCTCAAGAGACAAGGCTTGCTGCCCTGGTCCATGTTCTGTGCCCTCTGAGTGCTCCTTGGCCTTGCTTCTGGTGATGTGATCCCTGTTGTAACTGAGGAAAACAGCCTGGCTGTGGGGAGAGGATGCCAGCACTGAAGTAAGCTGAGTGAAGGGGCCATACAAAGCCCTGTATATGGGCCTGGCTGCTTGTGTGATGTTTAACCTTTTCCCTTCCTTTCTTGCACCCCCAGGGAGCTGCTGAAAGACCACCCATTCTTTTATGTCCCAAGAGTAGTGGATGAGCTATGCAGCCAACATGTCCTCACCACAGAGCTGGTGTCCGGCTTCCCATTGGATCAAGCTGTAGGACTGAGCCAAGAGATCCGCAATGAGGTACTGCCAGCCCTGCCTTGCTTCTCCCTGAGCTCAGAGCTGCACTGCAATTGCCCAGAGCCTTTTGTGGAAAGGCTAACCTGGAGCAGTGAAAAGCGGGGCCGGAGCTGGCAACTGCTTGGAGCCACTTATGATTTCTGTGTGGGCCATGTGGCAGCAGTGCCCATGTGTCCCTGGGCTGCTCTAGGCCTTGCAGGCTCCTGCACAGATGCTCGAGGAGGGCTTGGAGCATGGTGAGAGTGGCTCAAGGGAGCTAAGACAGCTCTGTAGGCTTTGCTGGCTGCTTATTGAGATTGCTGATGGAAATCTGTGTAATTCCCAAATGCGCCGTTCCTCTCAGGTGACTCTCAGCTTGGGTTGGATTGCCAGCTGGAGGAGAGGGGCTCTGCTTTGCAGCTGCTTTCTTGGCCAGGAGTGTAGGAAGTATCTTGTCCTGTTGTGCAAGCGTGAGGTGCCCCTTCCCCCTATGAGAAGGACCTGTGCTCCCCAGGGCTCCTGGAAAAGTACCTCTTGGTAAACAAGAGTGGGGGGAGCGTGGGGACGGGTAGGTGTTGGTGTTGGATATAACAAGGGATTGGAGGCTGATGGGACAAGCAGCTGCTCCATTGGCAGAAATAACTGTCTTGGTATTTGGAGTTGGGTGGTGTTTTTTCCTTGCCCTTGTGTGTGTCTTGGCGTGATCCCTCAGCTGTTAGGAGGTCACTGGGATAGAGTGCAGGCTGCGCTCCTTCAGATGAAACGGATCCTGGCAGCAGTGGGCACAGCTAGACTTGGTGCTGTGCCGGAGCTGGCTATGGCCCCGAGCTGCCTCCTTTTCCTCGGGTTTGCCTTCTCCAGTATGGGCTGCTTTATCATCAGGCACTGCTTTTAGCAGCCCCTGAATTGGGATATTGCTGTGGGAACAGCCCTCTTGTGCCTCGAAGCAAAGGGCAGTAAGTGGCCTAGCTGGCCCCCAGCCTTCTGAGCCAGATGGCCTGGTGTGTGTGCTGTTCCCCTGCTTCCCCTTTCACTGGAGACTGGAGCTTGTACAGGCCAAATGCTGAGTGAGGCTGGCAGTGCTGCTGAACAGACTGCAGCTCAAGTATTCTTGCAGCTATGTGCTGCTGTGGTGGGTAATGTGCTATAGGCGCTCCTGGGACTGCTGCTCTTGCTTCTCCCATGCCCAAGGCCTGCAGCCTCCCTTCTCCCCAGCTGGGGCCATGGTGAGCCCAGCTGGACGCTTAGCTGCAGTACCTGGTGGGTATGTGTCTAGCAAAGACCCTTTCTGTGCCTGTTTGGACCTAGCTCTGTACCCTACTCAGAAGCCTTACAGAGAGACACTTTTCTAGTTTCTTCAGACCTCTGAAGTGCCCCAGAACTCCCTCTTGTTTCTCTGTGAGCTGCACTGAGTTCGTTCTGGCCATGCTCTGCAGGACTCTCCACCAGGGTGAGCCGTACTGCTTTACTAGAGGCCGCCTCAGACCGTGGCTCACGCTGACCAGGTATCTTGGCACTCTCAGGGAAAACAAAGTGGGGAGGCAAAGCCGAGTAGCAAGGTACAGAACCAGGATAAAAGTAAAATGGGAGCAATTGGGTGACTCCTAGTGTCTGCTGTGTGTGCAGGGATGGACAGGAACTGCACCAGGGGCTGCTGTGAAAACTTGGGGTCTGCCCAGGATGTCCCACTCCAGGCTGCAGGCTGGGAGTTGTGAGACTTTCTGATGTATTTGGGAGCTTTGCAGCACCCAGTGGAGCAGACTGTTTCTGCCAGTGTGGGGGTATATTCCCTGTGTCCTGAAGTCTGCTGCAAATTATTATGGGGCTTGCTTGCCCTCCTGACTTGCTGCTTTCTCCCCTTGCTTTCCAAGATCTGCCACAACATCCTGGTCCTGTGTCTGCGGGAGCTGTTTGAGTTCCGGTACATGCAGACTGACCCAAACTGGTCTAACTTCTTCTATGACCCACAGTTGCATAAGGTAAGTCTGCTGTCCCTTCTGTATAAGAGAAGCTTTTCATTGGTTTGTGATTCTTTGCCTGCACTAAAGTTGAATCAGCTGTTGCTGCTTCTGGGTTCCTCCCTTGAACCTTAGGCAGGTAGTGCCTGGTGAAAGCCTGTCAGGCTTCGGCCCCGGTTTTCGCTTCGTCTGTGTTACCCTGGCTGGTTCCTGTCTGGGTCCGGTCTGTTGTGCTTGGGGAAGTGATTCCAGGTGTCCTGCTGGCTGGTTTGGCTGTTTGCTTGGGATGGTGCAAGCATAGGCCAGATGTCCTCTGCCATGTGCTGGAGTAAATGCTGCTCTCTGCTGTCAGGAAAGAAAGGAGGTGGGGGAAGCTGCCCTGCGGTGCAAAGCCTCCACACAGTTGTAATTTCATTGGGCTCATCAAGAGTCTTCTCAGGTCAGGGCTCTGAGTGCTTGATACTGTAATGCAGAAGATTTGTCCCTCTCCAGGTGGCCCTGTTGGACTTTGGAGCGACACGAGGCTTTGATGAGAAGTTCACAGATGTATACATTGAGGTGAGAACTTGAAGCATATGGTAGAGTGCTGCCCTGGGGAAGTATGTGTAAGATTGTGCTCAGTTCTTGGCTATTCCACTTTGTAGCTAAGTGAAAATAGCTAAGCATCCACTTCATTTTATTCCTGGATGAATGATCTCTAATTTTATCCCTCACTGTAGTCTTCTGTATGACTGTTGTAAACCTTTTGTTCTTCCAGTTATATCTAAATTACAAAACAAACATGGAAAATTGTAATGCTGTTTGCTGGGGTACTTGGGCAGTGCAGCATAGTTGAATGGCATCATCTCTTCACAGCCCCTGTGAAGTCAGTGCTATTTCATATAAGAGTGTGAAGGCTGTGCTTCTGTTTGGCTGTCAGTGTGGTCCTGTGGCCGTTTTAGCCTGCCTACAAACTCATTGCTTCATGCAGTGTCTCAATGTGGCTCCTTCTGGATGACAACATTCTGAACTCGATAAGCTGAGCTGCAGTGGCCAGCAGACCTCATTAGGGGAGACTGGTCTATGAAGCTTTTCCGGTGTCCGTATGGTCTCTGGGCTGCTGTGCCCAGCCTTACTCCAAAGAGCTTTTTTCCTTTTGTTGCCAATAGCTCTTACAACTTGCAAACTGCAGCTGCTCCAAATCTGACCAAAAAAAAAAAAAAAAAAACCCACACACTCCACTACCCTTTTTTGGGTTTTCGTTTGAGTTTAAGGGAGGGGGCAGCATGAGCAAGTCATGGGCATGTTAGTCTTGTACTCAAAGTGTTTTTGTGCCATCTGTTAGCGCTCCTGAAAGTGTCCCTCCTGTTCAGGTAATCAAGGCAGCTGCTGACATGGATAGAGAAAGAGTGCTGAAGAAGTCAATTGAGATGAAATTCCTCACTGGCTATGAAGTCAAGGTATGGAGTAGAGCAGTCTGGTTTAGTGCTGGCCAGAAGAGAGCTCTGTTAAAGATTGTGGGTCTGGGCCCTTCTACAGTGGCCTTACAGATAAGGAAAAGCCAATCACAACCTATGAAGCTGTCGCTTTTCTCAGGAGGGAGAAGGGCAGAAAGTGACTCAGCTTTTGCCCTCTCACCTCCCTTTGGGAACAGAAGCAGTAATGACAGTACCTGGCCACAAAGTGCGCGTGGTGCACTGTGCCCCCCACTCCTCCAAGGAGGTCCTGCAGGTGCTCTTGGGAGCTCTTGGGAGCTTTCAGATGTGAGTTGCTCCAGACTGTGCTAATCAAGTGTTCATCCGTCCCTGCTGAGGGCTGGATGTTTCCTTTGTTGTGAGGACTGCCGGGTGTCTCCTCTGATCTGCTGGTAGCACTATTCCCTTTTTTGCTTTTTCCTGACATTTAAAAAAGGGCTGATGTTACTTATGCCTCTTTCCTTTGGGCAGGAAATGGAAGACGCCCACTTAAATGCTGTCCTCATCCTGGGAGAGGCTTTTGCTTCCGAGGAACCTTTTGATTTTGGCAACCAAAGCACCACTGAAAAGATCCATGGCTTAATCCCAGTCATGCTGAAGCATCGGCTTGTCCCTCCGCCCGAGGAGACCTACTCTCTTCACCGGAAGATGGGGGGTTCTTTCCTTATCTGTACCAAACTGAAGGCCAAAATCCCCTGCAAAAAGATGTTCCAAGAGGCATATAGCAAATACTGGAGCAGCAGGGGCAAGAAGCCGGAGGAGTAGTAAGCGTGACTGAACACATCGTGTTGTGAGGGCACAGTCCAGCTGAGCCAGGAGCACCGTAGCCGCCCGCGTGTTGCACCCAGCTCTCCATCCTCCTGCGCTGCAGCAGCCTGTGCCCTGGGAGCTGAGCACCTTTCGCCAGGACAAAGTTGTTCTCTCGTGCTGGGTCTCTGCTACGCTCAGCCTTCCAGCGCAGTGCCCGGCTTGCAGGGGTCTCCTCTTGAGGTGGTGGGGCGAAGCTGCTCTGCGCCGCGGGCCCCCAGCCACTACCCTGGGTGCGTTTTTAATGTTGTGCTGGTGGCTGTGCAGCGGCTGTGTTTTATAATGAGCAGGGGAAGGAGAATGGGCAAAAGTTGTTATTGAAACCTGTTTGTATTTCTCTGAAATTTGTTTTTTAAAGAACTTCCCTTTTTCAAGCAAAGGTGAAATTCAAGTAGTTTTCATACTGTGAATGAGAGTCAAATATTGAGATGTACCCTACCACAGATACCCACAGCCCCCTATTTTTGTAAGTTCAGTGGTAGCAATCCGAGAACCTTCCTGGATTTTACTGATTTAGTGCAAGGGTGTGTGTGTGCGTGTACATAAGATGAAGTTTTATGCTTTCTGCCTCTTTTTGGCTTGCAAACTAAACATAGGAAATAGACAATGAGAATTGAAACACTATTTTTTAAAATTTGCACGCACACACACATGCATACACACACACAAAGCCACACAGCCCCTCTCAGTTCTGGGAGTCAAATACAGACTCATCAGAGCTGACTCTGAGCACAGATAGCGGGATCCTTCACTGCCTGGTAGGTATCAGCTTTCCTGTGGGCATGTTACACAAGCCTCCGACTCTGACACCCATCGCTTGCTGGACCCCTAACCAAGAAGCTGGCTTGTTTTGTTGTCTCTTTTCCTGTAATGCCAACTCATGGTGAGGCAGGCAAACACTTCATATCTCGTGAGCATTTCCAGCTCTTGCTGAAATGCCCTACATGGTTAAAACCAGACGCACACTTTTAGGCCATTGGAGTCAGGCTAGCAAAGTATTTTCTTGGATTTTTTTTTGTACAAATCCTGTAACCTGTATTACTTACCGATTTCAATAAAAAAGTGCTTGTGCGGTGGGCTTTCCTGCCTGCAGTTATTCCACCCTCCAGTGGGGTAAAGAATATCCCAGTGAGCCCTATCTTGTCTGGGGGAGAAACAGTAGCTGAGGTGAAGGAGAGGCTTCCAGATCTCTTCCTGTTGCAGGTCTGTTTTGGGGGGAAGCAGAGTTTCCTCGAGCAAAGGCTACCTGGCCCATGTACACCTTCATCTTCCTGTTGCAGCTGTGTCACTAGTGTTGAAGGAGACAAGTGTCCCCAGGAGAAGGCGTGTAGGGGGTGTTGGTCTTATTTTCTGTCTGTCCACACAAAATCCAAGTAATTGACTCTTGGGTTTGCTGTGTTTTACTCACTCTGTTACCAGTCTCCTGAACACAGGCCTCTCACCCCTGTCTGTGAAGGAAAAGCAGCAGTTGGAGCCACTGCTCACCTGGCGGGCAGGGCCGCTTCAGCGGGCAAGCGCCAGGGCTTGGCAGCGCCTGCCAAGGAGCAGCCTCAGCCTCGCTCCATTGGCACCGCCCGAGAAGAGAGACGTTTGCTACGACCTTAAATGGCAGGACCCAAGGAGCCTGAAATCTGGCTGCTGTCACCTTCCAAGATGAACAACAGGTACGTGAATACATAGTCTCTATGCAAAGGGGATACCTTTGAGAAATAGGAAAATAAGTAAGTTTACCTTTCATTAATCATTACCTTTCTTCCAAGGTCAGGAGCATACAAATGGCTTCATGATCTTGTTTTAGAAAGATCCAGTACTTAAAATAATGTAACCAAATGTCCTCATCTTGGACTGTTTCTAGTCCTTTGAGAAGAGCTAGCTCTACTGTTCAGTGATGTAAATTCTGCATAAAGCTATTGATAGCCTAACTTCCCATTTTGTTTTGAGCTCTGGTATACATTGCTTAGTTGGTTTCTCCTTTTAGAGCTAGATGTGGCAGCTGTAAGCCTGAGACCTGTTTGAGATGCTAAGTGGTTGTTAAAAGATTTTAAAAAAGCAAAGTATAAAACAAAAAATCTGACAAGGGAACAGGAGCAACTTCAGAGCAAAGTATCTAAAACCTGTGTTTCGGAGCCAGAGCGTTCAGAAAACATGTGAGGAAGGCAAGGGCCCTGCAGGCTGACTGGTGCAGTAAGCAGCACTTGGTGCCAGTGACCACATAGTGGTTAACGGGGCCAGAGGTCTCGTGTGCTGGGGCAGTAGTGGTTAATGCTGGCAAACGCTCCTGGCTCTGCTGGGAGAGAAATGGTTCAAGGATAACATCAGCTGAGCGATGGAGTTGTTTTACATTTGCCTAGAGGATAACAACTCGCAGAAGGCGAGATGCTTCCTTATTAGGCGAGCTAATTGGAGCTCAGCCCCTAATTCTGCTGGACTCCTGGGCATGTTCCAAAAGTGCTAATAATAATTTCTGCAGAATTGTCCGGGGAAGTCTGTGGCAAGAGACTTAGGTGTCAGGGTAACAGCCATGGGGGAAAAGGTGAGCCAGAAACACTGCTCTGGCTTTCAGGTGCAGAGCTGGGACATAAGCAAGACCACAGAGTTTACCCTCGGTGCTGCTGTTCTGGAGCAGCTGGGGAAGCTGCTTGGAGTGCACAAGTAGCTTGAGGGCAGGAATGATTCTCTGCAAGTTTAAGTTCTGGGAAAACCTTCTTGCAGAAGGCACTTCTCTGTTCCCTGCTGCAACCTGGAAGCTAAATTTGCTTCTCTGAAGCCAAGGCTTTTCTAGGTTAAAGAACTGGCTATAGGTGACAGCAGCTGCTGTTGACCCTTCTTTCCCCAGTGGGCCTGGCTTTTGCACCAAGCCCAAGGATGAACATTGAGGAGCTGCACAGGAGCTCGGACACGTGGCTCCTCCTGCCCTTGGGACCAGCACCTCCTGCAGTAGCAGCAGGCTCTTTCCCAGGAGTGTCCTAGCTGTGATTGATGGGGCAACAAGAAGCAGGGCACTCTGTACAAGTGGGAGTGCAGGGAACAGCTGTACAGATGTTTTCTCACATCTGCAAGGAGTGCAGCCCACTGGTGCAAACTGGGGCAAGGGCTGCAGAGGAGGTGCCCTAGGAGACAGGGCTGGCGTGAGCAGAAGGCCATGCTCATGTCTGGGGTGGTGAGAGAACTTCCTCCCTAGAACCAGGGCAGAGGGGAAAGGGGCCATCAGGGCATATAGAAAAAAAAAATGCAGGTGTGTTTGAGGTGTGTTTAATAAGGGGTGGTGCTTGCAGCACGGAAACAAGGTGGAATCCAGTCTCTAACCCTGCAACTGGACAGCTGAGACAACTAAATGGAAGGAGAGAAGCTCAGGATTAGATGCAGATTCATTGACACGAGAGGCTGCTCAAAATCACCGTAGGTCTTGCTTGTCTGTGAGCTGAAGAAAGGTGGTGCTAGTAACCACAGGCACGGGGAGGAAGGGGTCCAGAAGGAATGATGCAGTGGCCCAAGAAGCAAAGCAGGTAACTAAGAACAAAATCAGCAGCGATGCAGCTCACCAAGCACAAGTACAGGGTGGCCTGGCTTCTACAGACTTTTCAAAAGGTGCTGGGTAAACTTTTCTGAGGGGTCTTGATGCTGAGCAGAACTGCCCACCCATCCTTGTCCTTCCAGTGTGGTAAGATGCTGGAGTTCTTTTCCTCTAGAACACAGTTATTCCCCTTTCCTCCTCAAATCTTAATGCGGGGAAGAAAGACAAACCATCTGCATTTCTAACAGTTCCCTGTTTTATTGCAGTACATCAAAGTAGGTTAATATTAAGTGTGTTACCAACGTAAAATATTGGTGGCAAGTCCTTTATTACATTGTTGACTTCCCCACCTTAAATATTTCTGTGCAAAAGAATCTACATCATTGTTCTGTAGCAGAGAATCTCTTACAATGTCCCCTACAACATTGAGGGCATTAAACAAAAGAGTGAGAAGAGGCAAAAAGCAGAATCTTTCCCCCACACGCACACTTGTCAGCTTACTCTAAAACAACAAAAAAAAAGTGATTACATCTATGCCATGCAAAACTGTACAATAATTTTACAAACAAAAACCTAAAAAAAAAAATAATAATAAATGATATGAAACTGTCATACATAAAAAGGCAGGTATAATTGCTCTGAAATACCAACACTGGTTTGTTTGTGGATTTCTTCCCTCTGGATGAGACTTTCTTATGCAAAATGGAGAAAAAGACAGTTGTGTTCAAGTTGTGGCTGGAAAAAAGGAAGGACAAAGTTGAGTTTAAATTTAGACAGGAAGGGCTGCAGGAGAGCTGTGTCTGAGGCTCTCTATCAAATGTTGTGTGACCACTGCTGTACTGGGGGCTTACTGCAGGGAACTGTCCTCTTTCCTTCCTGGAACAGCCTCCTCGCATTTTATTTATTTAAATAATAATAATAAAAAAGCTCCCCAGGCTAGACTTTGATGGCCAAACAGTGATGGCTTTCACCCCATGGATAAATTTTAACTTACTTAGACAGCCAGCATGGTTGTGGCATGTTCTCTGCCAGGGCTTCATCCCATCTCTTTTCAGGGAGTGAAGGGGTTGTGTGTGGAAGGGCTGAACTGCCTTCCTCCCTGCTCAGCCTGTGGGGCTTTGCAGCAGGGATGAGTGTTGTGACCCAGGCCCTGGCTCCATGGGGCTCTGAGTGGCCTCTGGTCTGTAGCCCGGAGTCTGGAGTAGCTGCCTGAAGTGGTTTGGATCCAACAGAATTGAACAATGTGAAAAACCCAGCACTCCATCCAGTTAAAGCAGTGTCATAAATGCAAAACACCTTCAGTCTCAGCCAAAAGGAAAAAATCGTAACTAGAGATATATACTGTGCACACAGAACATATGCTACAGTTGAACACCACAGGGAGATTTTAGCTCCTTGGATAAACTGCAGCCCTCTAACAGTGATGCTGAAGCAATGCTACAGTACAAAGTAGCAAACAGCAAACCTTAAGAGACAACTGTCTGCGAGATACCAGGTAAGAGTCTTACACTTCAAATGACCAAGTTAGTTTTCCTATCCCAATGTGCCCGTAAATAGCTCAGGTACAGTGTGCACATCATTCTCAGTGTTCACACCAACCAAGGAGAGGTGCGTGGGTTAAAAATGAGTGTATAAACAAATGGTCCCCGAATATATAAAATATTCAAGCCCTAGGACAACTTTCTCCCTTTCAAATAAGTGATGTGGTCATTTGCTTTTCAACTGAGAGACCAGTTGCTGTTTCTCTTTATACACGCCTGTTGTAAAGATGCACAGTACCAAACTGCTGCTGCATTACTGCATCTTCTGCCGCGGGGCAGCCGCCAGGGCCGGGCGATGCTCCTCACAGAGTGGCTCCCTGCTCTGCTGCGGGAGCGCCGCAGAGCCAACAGGCACCTGCACTCGGTGATGCCGGGCTTGCGCAGCCACGGTGCTTTGGGGGCCGTGTTCGGGCAGAGCTTCAGCGCCGTTGCAGAAATCTCCCCGTGTCCCTGTGCTGGGCTGCTCCCTGCAGGGCCTCGCGACCTGCGGGCCCTGCACCTCTCGGCAGCAAAGGTTAATGTTGAAATGCAACGTACACCAAGCACAAAACCGATCTGCAAGGGCTTCGTCATGGGGTGGAGAGGCTTCCCCCAGAGGAGGGAAGGGTGGGGAAAAAGAAGGGGTGATGAAACAAAATGCGGCTTTTAAGAGGAAGCTGATGGGGAATTTTAGTAATGCCAATAATGCCCTGCCTGAAAAACTAATCTTAAGGGGATTCATTTCACATGTTTGGCTGTTTGCTAGAGCTTTTAATATTAAAGGCCAAGCTTGCAAAAGTTGTAGCATTGAAGTAACAACACAAAAACCACTATGCTGAAAAATCCAAAGTGGGGAGAGACAGGATTTTGAAATGGTGGTTTGTAAAAAGTTCTTGTGATGCCCATCTCAAAATAACACTGAAAGAGCTTAGCCTTGGACAAGCCTCTTGCTGCAGAGTGACCCGGATATCTCACCTAGGGGAGGAGCACGACTAAACAACGCGAACGAGCTGCATGTCTCACTGTGCAGCTCCAGTCAGACCCTGCTGGAAATCATTGCACGGGGTCGGGGCTCACCTCCAGCTTCCCTGAGGGAAGACAGGAACGGGGGAAAGGCCGAGCATCACAATGCGGGGGTGAAACTACAAACCGCTGCCTGCACCAACAGGGAAGGGTTTAACAAGAGCCGTAATGCATTTCAAGCCCCATGAAACCAGGACTCTAATGCGAAGACCCCTTGTGTGCTTGGGGATGCGCATGGGCTAAAGCCACCGACAACATACTGAGAAGGGAAGTTTGCCTCGACTAGCGCAAATGAAAAGCATCTTTCCTACTATCCCACAAGCAGCTACCTGCTCCTCCTACCGTGCAGCAGCCTCCCCCTGCCCTGGGCTGCCAGCAGCACTGGCCGTCCCGCAGCCCGCACGGCCCTCTCCTCACGGCAGTGGCGTGGCAGGCGATGCAGTCATGGCGCGGGGCGATGCAGTTGCATGCCTGGCCCCTGCCACTACCACCACGCAACAGTGTGAGGTCAGCAGTCACGGTCCGCGTTGCTACGTGCGAGCAGGGCCGGCTCCGGTCGAAGGGGGCTCGCTTGGCCAGCGCGCGGCAGGAAGCAGCGCTTGGTGATGGTGTTGATGTGGCTGGGGCTAGAGCAGGAACACAGCTCCCTCCCGTGGGACCCGGGCCAGCACATAGCAGGGACACGGCCTTCCTGCTGCCTTCAGCTCCCTGGCTGCCTCCAGGAGTTCGACTGTAGCGTGGCCTAAGGTCCCCCAGCTGCAGAGGCAGCCCCTGAGTACTCTCAGCTGAAGAGTGTCCTCCAGTGTTGGGGCACAGAGCTGCTTTCCATCATGGACATTCTTGCACAGGAAGGGGTTAACAGGGAAGGAGGGTTGGTTATAGCTTCCTTTCCGCTACTTCCCCCAAGGAAGGAAGTGTTGAGACCGCACTGGGAGAGCAGCTCCTGGCAGTGCAGTGAGTGCTGGGCGACAGGAACATCGTCCTGTCAAAGGTTTTAGGCCAGGCCTCCAAGTCTCTACATTACTGAGCATGAAAACAGGGACAACACAAATCTTAAATTAAAGGCTCTCTTAAATAAGCATCCATCTTCTGCTGCATACACAATGCTTTTATCTTTGAATATATACATACGTATTTAACTCTATCATCTGCGTATTTATTTAAACTCTGTACTGTAGTAAAATATGCATCATCTTCATCAATAAGGATTTGCTGGCGACAATCAGATTGACATTCAAACGTGGTGGCTGGAAGCTTTTATGTGCCTCTGACATACTGATTGCTCCCCGCGTGGGGCGGGGGAGGGGGGGTGCGTCTCTGTGCTACCTTCGTACAGTACGATGAGCTTGTGTATGAAAACAAAACCTCTCTGAATGGGCTCTTGTTCACACTGGTCTGGTCTACTTAGGCTACTTTTTGGGGAGTGGAGAGTGGGATAAATAGATCTTTAAAAATGAAAGCAGCTGTAATCACAAAAAATGAACCCAATGCTAATACAAATCTACAGCATCTGATATTTACCAGCACCCTAGCATTGCTCTTTGCTGCTGTTAGGTCTGGGGAAGTGGGGGGTGAGGCGGTGCTGAATGGTGCTGGAGATGGCCAGCTCTTCCCTTCCTCTCTATCCCACTCCCCGCTCACGCTCAGCAAGGGAAGGGGGAGGGTTAGGATGATGAAGGTGAGAACTGGGGCAAGTGGAGGAGACAGCCATGGGGACATTAAGCTGCTGTGATGTCAAATCTGAGTGCGGAATGAAGCAGTTCATGAGTCCCAACTCACGTGGTCAGAGCTCTCCAAGGAGAGGCTCTTGGTCTTATGAGGCGACACCGGGCTGGGAGGGCTGCTGAGGTTGGAGCTGTTGGATGCAGTGGAGTGTCTTGGAGAGTCAGAGTCCTGCAGTCCGAATACACAGAGCGACACCAGTGAGAACCGGGCGGCCAACGCCCAGTGTCTCAACAACCGCCGACACAACGGGAAAGCCTGAACTTACTTTGCTTGTGTCCAAAAACCCTGAGGAATTTTCTTTACTGAGAACGTCTGGGTGGGGGCAGAAGGAGAGAAAGCTGCCAAATCGCTCCATTTGGGCTGGCAGAACCGCGGCTCACCCTGGAGTGGCCCCTGCATGGGCCCTGCATGTTACTGAGCGCTGCGCTAAGAGGCTGCGACCGCAGCTCACTGGGGAGGCTCCACGGCCCCTGCCTCTTTCAGCCTTGCGTCAGGGATGCTCCTCCACTGAGCGCGGGAGCCACCACAGTCTAGGCTGCATCACAGCCACCCTCGTATGTCACTGCAAGGATATGAATTCAAAGCGTCCTAACTCACACTTGCTTTCCAGCTTCAACCAGAATCTGTTCTGTACCGTGAGAAGCTGTTGTGATTTCTAAATCCTCTCATTCCTTCCTAAGAAAATGGGCTGGGACAGTTTTGCTAGCCAACATCATACTGAATCCTCCTACATGAAATGTTCTTGGGTGGAAGGACTGAGCTCAGCAGTGGACTGAGCACATGTCCTCGGACCGTGTTCCTGCCATGGTGGGGATTTGTTTGCAAAGCACAGACACGATCAGCTTATGGACAGTTTCTAAGTGAAATAATGATAATTCCCAGACTTGCAGCCAGCCAGGTCGCTACACCCCCAAGTCCACCCCAGCATTTAACCTCCTGTTTTATCAACATGCTTCGGCTTCTTCCTCCTCCCGCTGTCACTCACCTCTCGCTCGTAGTCCCTTGCGGGCGTGTCGCTACCTTGGTCCAGACCACCGGAGGATAAGGAGCCGTCCGATGGTGATGCCATGGGCTGGCGCTTCGCTCCGTAGCTGCCTCCCGAAAACTCCCTCCGCAGAGCGCTGCCATTCTGCGCCGCTGACCCTGCAACGCACAGAGGGATCAGCCACTCGGGCAGATCTAGGCAAGGTGCTAGAGACCCGTTAGCGGTTTCTCTGCTTAGTTGGGTTTCCTGAGCCGCTGCATTGTGGCTCGCAGGCCGGATGGGCTTTCATCTTGCCTGCTGCCAGGTGCTGCTTCCTGAGGGATTCTCCAGCCCCCCCGGCATGTCAGCACTAGCAGCTGTTACCCCACACAGCAGAGCAACTTCCGCATCAGCTCTGCCGAGCCTGCAGGCTGCTGCTCTCCTGGGCAGCAAGGGGAACTGCCACATCCAGCCCCGCGGCCTTCAGAACCACGTTAATAACAAGGGAGCTCAGGAACGACTTACCACTGACTTAAATTACGCAAGCAGCAACTAAGTAGCCCCAGTGGCAAGATATCAATTCTCATCTCCCTTTCTCCTTGGGAACCAACTCCCAAAGGACATGGCTGCTAACTTACATGTTCCTTCAAAAGCAAGATTAAAATGCTGTCCTTTTCCCGAGGGGAACACAGACAGTGCTAATTACATGTGGAAGCACAGGAAGCCCCTGGCTCAAGCCTGGCGTGGATCTGCTAGGCACTTACTTGCCGCCAAGCCGCTGCTGGCGCTCATGGACCGCCCCGGCTCCGTGCGGGCCTTGGTGATCGAAGGGATGCTGACGGAGCTGCTGAACATGGTGCGGCTCTCCTGTGGCCGCAGGCTCTGCAAGGCAGACACATGCGATACACACGGACACGCCAGGCGCCTGCTGGCCGGCTGCCCGCCTGGCCCCGGCGCCACCAGCGCCCTGGCCTGCCGCAGCAGGTCAGCACTGCTGTCAACACAAATCCTGCAGTTCAGCGCAGAGACCAGAAGCACACACAGCATGACAGTGAATGCTGAATTATATGGACATATGCAGACAACTGAAAGAATATTATTTCTAATAGCTGAAAATTTCCCTTGAAAGGATGGTTTCCCAGCCTACCTGGGTTGTTGCAGATGTACTGTGGGCACATGCTTCCAAGTAAGTATTGCCTTAACACTTCCCTCTTTGATGTATATCTAGCTTTATACAATAATCCTGTCAGTCCCTAGTGCCTGCAGACTTATGTGCACATACTGGACCAATCTGTATTTCAATTACTTATGTAATTCCAAAGGTATTAAAAGCAAGTGCCTTTACCCTGCTTCTGACACGGTTGGCAATACTAAGTCAATAGCACCAACTGGAATTACGTTTCGAGAACCTTTACAGATGCAGAAGATGAAAACTGCATGTAGCTCTGAGCATTGCTTGATTTCCTGTTTGCAAAACACCCGCAATAACTGCTAACTTCTTCCTATTTATAATTTCACCATTTGTCGCTTTCAGATAAAGTAGTCAAAGAAAGTTTTCAATTCTGATATTGAAATTTCAAAGTTCAACAAAGATTGCAGCTCTCCCCAAGGTGTTCTCAGAGAAACCTTCCAATGCACCAGTCTCTGCAGCATCCTGGGACCCTAGGCCTGAAAAACACACAGTTCACTATGGCCCATATTTTATTCAACTAAAACATTTAACTATATCCTTAGATCTGGAGCAATTCTCCAGCCCCTGCGTACCTGTGTGCTGGGACCATCTCCAGGGAACATGAAGGCTGTGCAGTCCTTGCTCCCCACTGTTACCAACACGCTGTCAAGCCCATACTGCAATAGGAACTCTGCTGTTTGAGAGCAATGGGCTAGAAATGGTGATTTTTTTAATATGCAATAAGTAAGAATTATAATTCCGCCTGCTGCTTTCAAATCTCTCTCAAATACCAACACAAAACAATCAGAGACCATATCAATGAAAAAGCGCTATTTAACTCTCCCCTGATCCATTGCTGCATGACTCTCAACTTGGATTTATATCTGAAGGCTTTAAAGGTCTAAAAGTCCACGTAATTCCAGTTTCCCAAAAGCAAACCTCTCCCTGCTCTTTCTTTTAGAAGTAACACAGTCCTGTGCCGGAAACGCGGGTGCTTTGGAGCAGGACCCCTGGCACAGGATACGCGCAAGATGTGGAGCGGGAGTCCAGGGAAAACTAAGTGGTGGTTATAGAGGTAGTTACAAAGCAGCAGAACGCAGCGAGTTAAAAGGAAAAGGCAAACGGCTGAATCCTGGCCTGCCTTCACTGTTAGGAGAAACAAACCCCTCTTCAGAAGAGCCAAACCCTCATGTTAAAGGTTTATTTTTCAACTCCCCTCCTGACTGCAGGCTATTCCAGTCGCAGTACCCAGGGGCGGCAGCAGCACGAGCCCTAACCCTCCCTGGGGGCCAGGGAGCACAGGCTGGCGCTCTCCTCCTGCAAGCCCAAACCTCTGCTGCTCGGAGGAGCTGATGGACAGAGCCCCTCGCCCCGAGGCTGCCCCGTCCCCCCTCATGTGCGCACCTGGGGACACTCCTTCCCTGCCGCTGTGGCAGTAGGATGAAGGATGCTCCTGCTTGCAGACCTGGCATCATTCCCCCTTGAAACCACCCGGGGTCAATAGTTTCCAAGGGCCATGGGCAGCACCAGCAGCCTCTCCACTAGGGCGAAAGGCCTCAACCCTGAGGCACCAACCACTGCTACCTGCATCGACCTGCAGATTCCTGGCGTTCTTCCCGCAGAGCTGTCCTGTCCGGCCACGGCATGGCACGCAGCGACGAGGCCTAGCAGCTATCTGGGGGCCTCTGTCCATATGACTCTATTACCATAAGCCCTAGCAGCCCCTGGGTACTCAGACCTGGATGCCCAGGACAGTCACAACTGTACGAATGCAGGAAGGGGAAAAGACCATCTCCATGCCCCAAATGGTGCAGGCCAACTGGCAGGACAGCGTCAGCACTTAGTCTTACCTCAGTGTGTGCTGAAGAGCACCAGTATTCAGAGTGCCTACACCACTGAGTCCCCGTTACCTTTAACTTTTGTTCTTCTCGCTTGTGCACATGCTGCCTGCGTTTATTCTGTCCTAGGACCTGCCTGGGCACACCTTGGTCCTTGCGTCAAAGCCTTTTTGTCCCTCACAATGGCCTGAATGCCCCATGGCAGCTCTACCCCAGAGACTTTCTCCTGCCACAACCTGGTACTCAGCACCCTGCCCTGCTGCTGTGAGATGAGCCCTGAGGGACTTGTTATGTAAAATACCCGCTCCCTTCCTGGGAATTAAAGCAGCTCTTCTCCCAGCCCAAGGTTCAGCCCACTTATCTCAGGCTCTTTGCTCCCCAAGAGCCGATACATCCGCTGCTTGAGGCATCGAGGCCACCGGGAGCTGCGCTGGTGGCAGCAGCAAGTGCTGGCGGGGGCTGCTGCCACTGTGTTAGTCAGGCCCACGGAACACCCCGGAACAGCACATGGGTTAGTAGGGCAGCTCCTACCCGCAGGGCTGGGCAGGCGCGGCGCGCAGGTCGCTCGCGCAACAGGAATTTTTCAGCCGAACTGACAGTCATATGGTAGACGTGCTCGAAGTCGCTCGGAGAGGAGACGAAGCCGGCGCCGGGCTGAGGGACCTGGGAAGGGGAGCGTCGCTGTCGAAGACAATGGGGAGAGAGACAACCATGCAGGGCGGCCGCCGGGATAGGGAGAACAAACCAAACGCTGAACTCGTTGGGAATCGGTTCTAGTGTTTATTGTCGTCTGGTATTTCAGGGAGCGCTGCGGCGGCGCCGTACAGAGTCAGGGGCGCCATTCCCTGCCTTGAGGAGCTTACAATCTAGGACAGACGCACACGGGGGTGTGGGACGAGGCGGGATGAGGTGCACGACAGACAAAGACCACAGGGGGCTTCCCTCCGCGATTCATGCGCTCGGCGATGCCGCCCCAGTCTGTCACCCATACAACAAACAAGTATTTCTGACGAGGGGACAGCATCTCAGCAGGATGGGGTCACATGTGGGGTGGGAAGGTGAATGGGGGGTGGTGGGAAACTGGGACAAGATTTGCTTGGCCACAGACGGGCAATGCGAGGCCTGTGTCCTTCTGCAGGACTCGCGCGCCTCTGCTGCTGGGCAGGCAGGGGAACCCACGCGGGCCAGCAAACCACAGCACCGTCTTCAATTCCTTTTCTAATTTCTAAATCTTTCCTCCTCCCCTTGAGCTGAGCAGCATTAGAAACAATAGGACTCGTTGTACAAATTCAGCTTCCTCCTGTGGCAGACCTAAGGCACTATGTTTTGTATGTGGAGCCTGGCAGTTTGGAGGAGGTCGCAGCCCAATGCACGCTGTAAAACATTCTCCCTGCTCTCTTCATCTCCCTCAGCTGCTAAAATTCAACTTTTTCTTTTTGTTAAATTCCCTGGTATTATGAGGCTTTGCATGTTAACCAGAACATCAGTCACCACACTATGGCATGTAAGACATAATATGTTACATTGTTCCTATTGAGTTGTACAAGAACCACCCTCCCAGTAATGGTCCTGAACAGAAAAGTGCACGTTGATGCTGTCTGCTGGCAACAGCGATGCTGCGGCAGAGCCAGCTACATCCTGAAAGCCAACGAGGGAGAAAAAGGATGCCCAAACCACCAACCAAACAGCAGTGGGTAGGCCAACTGCAGCCTGTAAAGACACGTAGCCAGCATTCCTGAGTGCGAGAAAGCCACCATGTGTTGGCGTTTCTAAAGGAGCCCTTCGTGGGTCACACTCCGCTGTCAGATGCATGTGTGGGGTTCCCCACATTTACTTTAAGTAAATGTGTAAGTATTCACTGAGTCTGAAAGTTTCTCATTTGAAACAAGCAAAGCCTCACAGGTAATTGGTCATGAAAATATAATGGTTCATGTATGATGAAGTCAAACTGAAGCATAATGTTCAAGTATAACGGCAGGCAAGACTAGCTTTTGTATGGAAAATGCTTAAGCATGCAGAATAGGAAAGCAAGATCGATCCTGTCCACGTGGTGCACACAGAGCGGTGGTCTGTGCTGCAGTTCCAGAATTCACATCTTCGCTACAAAGGAGCGTCCACGATAAAGTGGCTTCAAGGGACAAGAGGGCAGAAGGGAGGCCAGACTGTGTGGCCAGTTAATTGGTGACAGGCTGCTAGGGAAGAAAAACACGTCAATAAATAAGTTTGGGGATATACTAATAGGAACGATTCTAAATTTACAAAACAAGACAGTCACCCAGAATTAGTATCCCCATCAGTAAAATACAGACAGGCATTGATTAACATATAGGCTGTGGTAAGAGCAGGTAAGATCTTCTGACTTTGGCTTTGCTGCAGTTCACACAGTTGCTGCTCAAAGCCAGACCCCTGTGCAATGGCAAGGCATGAAGGAAGGGAGGCTGCAAACGTGCAGCCCTGAAAACGTATAACCTTTAAAATCTTCTTTCAACCTCATTTGACGCTGCGCCTGGGGCAGGTTCCCTCTGTGCCAGCACAGGGCTCCGCTGTCTGTTGGCAGCCTGTCAATCACCACAGACACCCCTCACCCTGCGGACTCCCGAGCACAGTGTCTCTCCAGGGGCGGGCGTCTGAACGTGTCTGCGCCACAGGCCGGTTGGCGCCCAGGCTCAGACGTGCCTGCGCGGCAAAAGCCGCTTTCCCTGGTATGCGGCTGCATCAGCAAGTGCGTTCGCTGCAGAGAGGCAAGCTGCACGTACACAGGCATCGGTCTTGGACACACAGTACCAAAGAGACTTAAAACTCGCCACTGACCTGATTTTCATCTTGTACTTCTATAGCAAAAATAAAACTCCCTAAAGTCAATCTTTTAAAAGACAACTTTAAGAACAGTAGTGGACTAACAGGAAGCAAGAGGAAAAAAAAAAAGTCATTTGTTTACAAAGCTCATCCATGGAGAGAGAAGTTAGATACAGGCAACCGGAGCTGGTTATTAGCTTAGGACAATCTCATCCAATGCTAAGATTAAACTATCAATTCTCTATTAAAGCCTGTTCTTAAGGACCCTTCAGCCTACAGAGCAGGCTTTAAAAAACATACCGGCTTTAGGTAAAGTTCATGTGGATGAACAAATCCCTATTAGTAGATCTAGTGAAAGCTGAACTTGCTCAAATAAGAGTGAAAGAGGAAATAAATTCCAAATAAAAATGCCCAGTCCACTATTTTCATCCACTTTCTGCATTTCAGGATCTCCTAGAAAGAGAATATGGTTTCTAAAAGAGTTGGATGAAAACAGGCGAGGAAACATCTAGCCTTGCACTAGTTGTTCTCTCTAGCGGTAGCAGGGGTTAGACACAACACAGCACAGGCATTCACAAAGCGAAATGCTGTGATCTTTTCCCCTATTTCTTCCTAAGCAGAAACCTGAAGCAGAGGTGCCGGCTGCAGCATCACCACGCTGCACCAGGAAGCATGGTGCACCGTGGGGACAGGGCAGGGCCACAGCTCAGAGAGGCTTCGGAAGGGCAGCTATGGCCAGAGCGCTGCAGGGGCCCTGGGTGAGTGCCCACTACCTCCTGCCCTGGTTCCCACACACAGGGCGCTCTCTGCTCCCATCCTGCCTGTGATTCCATATTTACCTTCCTCATAAAACCGTACACTCGCTGCATAACATCCTGTGCATGTGAATCAGCACGCAGAACTCCTTTCCCCCTGCTTCTGTGCCCGAGCAAAGCAGGAGCCTGCTTGGAGTACATGAAATGGAGACCTTGTCAGGCAAAGGTCTTGCTGGGAATTGCTGGAAATGGAAAACCAGCCTTGACAGAAGGAGCATCCTCAAAAGAAAATGTATATCCTAGTGGCACCTTACACGTTCAAGTTCATACACTTTCTAGTCCCACTACTGATGCAGATCTCCTGTGTCTGTTCAGTTCACACCACAAATACAACCTGGTACTGCAGAACCTACCCAATAATAAACATCAAAATCACTCTTTCTGCAGTGATGTCTCCCTGGATCAAGATTGGTAACTATTGACAAAAATCAGTTTCTGATATTAACTTTAAAAACAAAGAGCAGTAGGGAAACAAGAGTGGAAATCAATTCTACATTATATTTTCTAGTGTTTTTTCCCCACCCATTTTACAAGAAAGCAATCTATGAATTTCTTTCAAAACATCATATTGATTGTTAAGAAGAACAATACCAGTCCTGCCTTTGAGCTAGTACAGAGCTTGTTTAATTGGAACAAATTTAAAACGAAAAGCCATTTAGAGATGACATAATTTAAGCAATATCAATCCAGAAAATCCCCTTCTATAGATAATATCACTCCTCACTTCACGCTCGCCAGGTTTGGAGCTTGCTTAAGAATCCTTGCAGCTTTCAGTTCCCTTGCACTTTCAGCAACTGCTGGTGCACTGGAATGCAATGCCTTGCCCTGTCCTTAGCTGCAGCAGACTATTCTCCCTGCTCTAGAAAAACTAGAAATATTTTAAAGAATCCACCAGAAACAGAAAATTGAAAAAAGTTCTGATCTGCATCCTGCCTGGAAATTATCACTCCTCATTAAATAGTAGCCTTACAAATACTGACATGCAGGCACCAGCTTCCAGCTTCCCTTAGTTTTGTCTTGGGTTCTCCACAACCTTCGTGCTCTCTCTCTTGGTTATTTCTTCACACATTTCTAAACACACCACAAACGCACACCATTTTTTTGTTGCTCAATTTCACCAAATATATTTGTTGTAAGTAGGAGTCTCAGACTACTCTAATACTGTGAAAGAAAATCCTTCCTGTGCGTACGCTGCTGTGTATGGAGCAGAAGAGCCCAAGTGCTCACGCACTGCGTGCAGACCGCCTGGCTAAGTGCAGCGTAAGGCCCCGCACGCGCTCTCCTCCAGCCTCACTGCTGCCTCCACCTAATTCTTCAGCTTAGACCAGCTGAGAGCATTTCTCACGGGCCCCCCTGCTTACTGCATTCTGCACAGACCACAAGTAATAGGAATGACCATTTCAGACCCCAGCAGGACTGGGCGGATGACATACACCTGCATCTCACAGTGGCATTCGCATCATCTCTTTGGCTTTCTTTAGAGATTTTCCTTATTTATCACCTTACGGATCACATCTAAGCCAACTTGGACTTAGCACAAAACAGAACACACAAACAAAATGTTCATTGTAGCTTGAGATAAGATGTATGAACACTCTCCTATGAGCAAAATATAATTTGGTCTGTAGCTCAGAAAAAAAACACCACTACCTTCAAAAGAGTCTACTTCCTAAGTAAGGCTTTGAGGTAAAAGAAGCATGTGTGTGCACCTTACGGATCACATCTAAGCCAACTTGGACTTAGCACAAAACAGAACACACAAACAAAATGTTCATTGTAGCTTGAGATAAGATGTATGAACACTCTCCTATGAGCAAAATATAATTTGGTCTGTAGCTCAGAAAAAAAAAAACTACCTTCAAAAGAGTCTACTTCCTAAGTAAGGCTTTGAGGTAAAAGAAGCATGTGTGTGCACTATTATATTTTGCATTTTCTTTTTTTTCCACTTTAAAAGGTTATTTTTATATACACTGAGACTAGTTAACCTGGAAAGAAAATAAAAAAAATGTCTGTGGCAAGGATTAAATTTGAGTCCTACACATTGTAAAACTACTGCAGTTCCACTATCTGAGGAAAAGACGTCGTACAGAGGCCAAGTTAGAGCTAAAGGTAGGAAGGGAGGAAAGGAGCTGACCTTACAGTAATACAGTTTATGGAGAGAGGAATTTCTCCTTCTATTCCTGTGAAGACCCTAGGTTTAAATCCCCTAATAAACAATAACCACCATGCAGAGGTCAAACCGCCTTAAAAAACAGGAGGCACTTCTCCCCTGCAATTCTTAAGTGTCAAGCTGTCCTTTTAAATTTTATCACAAAAAGTACAACATGTTTAGCTCCATTTCCTCAGTTATAAAGCTTCTGTTATGAAATACATCAAAAACTCAGAATACACATTTAGAATAACATTTATCTGTCCTTCTCTTATTTACAGCCTCTGTTGCAGTCACTCTGCCATGCATTTCCTCACTTACCATTGGAAGGTCTTTGAGAATCTGTATACCATCTCCTGGACCCATATGTGCTATGTGGTTAAAATTAGTTGGGTTAGAAATTAATTTATTTCTCATTTCAGGATCTCGTAGCATTTCCCTGAAAAAGAAAATATATCATTTAAGTGTTTTGTTCAAAGTGAGAATGAGCATTTAATAAATAAGTACAGTTTTGATTACCGGTTTCTTCTAAATGGAAATTAATAATATGCAATGTTAACAGTGAAAACCCTCCCTATCAGCACTGCCCTGGGCAAACCCCCGGGCTGAAGAGAGGGTAGGAGGTCAGAATAGAAAAATGTTATATCGCAGGCTAAGACCCAATAATTACTAATACTCAGGGAATAAACAACCGCTGTGAGCTGATAAAAACCTCAGTGAGATGAACAAAAGCAGAACTAAATTGCGATGCTGCACTGCAAAGTGGAGATGAAAATGAAGCGCAAAATGTGAAAAGAGAATTAATACTACACTACCTGCCTCTCAGTCTGCAGTGGGGATTATAATAAAAGCTCTCCAAAATGGCAGGGATGCATTTCAGAACTTGCAGCAAAAAATATTCTAAAGACAGAACCACAAGCAGCTCAGAAAATACCAAGTTTTTGTCCTTGGGCCTTTAACTTCACTGCACACAGCTGTTACTTGTCTTAGCGCCAAAAAGAAAGGAAAGCAGAGATGAGCTGGTAGGAGCTTCAGTTCTTCAAGGTGTATTTTAGCAGGTAATCTTTAGCGAGTGACAGGAAGCACTCAATAGACACCCTAGGTGAACCTTTTAGTAGTGCTGACCTATTTTTATTGCCTTTCAGGAAAGTATTTTCAACCTGTTTATTGGAAATCTATCCTGCGGCTCAATCTCCCCTGCAGGTGAGTTTTCTGAGATTTATAGAGTGTTTATGTAGTTAAGAAATATATAAATCAAAAAAAAAACAAACAAAAAAAACCCAGATGCCTGGGAATACTGCTGAGAGTAGAATTGCCCTAAAGAAAAGTAGAACCAGAGTCTGAAAGTAATTAATCCATATGCATAATTAGCAATGTAATCTCCTTTTGTAAAATGTTTATTATGGATCTTTATATACAGTCTAGTTGCACGCACATGTACCTATACACAGTATGTGAAGACATGCATTCCAAATCACAGCCTTCACACATAATTTATTTTAGTTAACGAGATTACTTGTGTATCCAATGCATATCCACATCCAGATTGGTATCAGCATAAATTATACATCACGGATTAACATGGCAGGGAAGACATGGGAAAATCTGGAAGGGGAATCGCAGAAAGCAGCAAGTGAAGCACTACACAGGCCTCAGTCACTGTCCTTCAGGGCCTACAGGCATGTACAGAGGACAAGTACGTGTTGAATACCAACCTCCTCTGCTGCATCCTCTCCTCCTCCGGCACTCGGAAGGAGTAGCGCCGCTTGTTGTTGATGTTGCGAACCATTTGCTTCCGGCTGTTGTCCGATGTCTCTGGAACTACCAATTCATCGCCCTCTGGAATCAACAGGAAAGCAATCCCGGGGATACTTTATTAGGCATTTAATAAAATTATTGCTTTTAAAAATACAAGCAAACAGAAGTAGTATAGGGGTTTATGTGACATTTCTGTATCTAAATCATTGGCGAGGGCTCTGTATAAGGGCACAAAGCTTCAGGATGCAAGCACTCAAGCAGAATACAAATGTAAGACGTCCTTAGTAGAAGAGGCACAGTGCACTGAGTCTCTGAAGGTGTCACACACACACGTTCATTTTCAAGCTCACATCCAGTAGTTTGGATGAACTGTGAAGAGCCTTACATTTTAGAAGCCTTTTTACATGGCATTCTGAGAACTGATTTCAGAACTGTGATTCTACAGCATACTCACCTGCCATTTTGTTTTTGAAATATATTAATCTAATTGTCTCCAGTCCTAAAAGGTTTAGTGATCCTTCTGTATTCAAGGGTCGTACCTGAAACAACGTAAACCATTCTTTTAAAAATAATGTTACCTCTCTCTCTCCACATATACATATACAGATAGATAGTGCAACTCATTCTGGAAGACACCAGGAACATCACACACTCAGTAAGAGGAGCACTGCAAGACAGCCAGCCAGGAGGAAGGCAGGGTAATTTGTCAGTGCTCAGCTCATTGCAGAACAGAACTGGAGGCTGCAGGAAGCAGTGTCTTATTTCCCCAGTGACCCATGGCTGCTCTCAAGAAGAGTGTGAGTGAGTCATTAAAGCCAGAACGCAGAGACAAAGGCAATTTCAAAATTTAAATGGAAACTTCTGATTTAATCATCTGTAGATACTGCCTATAATTCCAGTTATATAAAGAGAGAGGATTAATCCCTACTCCTCCCACCACTTAAATAAATAGATTCCAAAAGAAGTAACAGTTCAATTTTGTCTGCTACATGCAGAGCACTAAATTCTGCTTTTACTTGGTGTTACGATCATGTTGCAGTTATGCGTTGCACCTTGGTAACATATATACAGACTGCAACAACACACTAAGTCCTGTGATTTCAAATTTTGAAAGAAACGAGCATTTCTCCAGACAGTCTATACATTGTGCTAGAAACAAACTCGTCATAATAAATTACCATCTTTGAGTCTCCTACAATTAGCAGTTCTTGTTTGTTGAATGAGACAATAAACGTGTCCATTCATTATGTGGGTAAGTCTTGAGTCAAACATTAAGCAAAGTACTAACTCAGGGTCTGATGTGTTGGAAAAAATGCCCCAGCTGCTAAATAGCTCATAATTTTGACATCAGAAAGATTAAATTCTTTACTAGCTTTTAAAGCTTCATTATTAAGACACAGTTTATTACGTATCTGTGTACTGGCTTTCTTAAAACTAAGGCCAGATGCTCTTTGTCTGCATAAGACGGTTTAAGAGCTGAGCACCTCAGTCTTTGCATTACTCATCCTTACAGCACTGCAGTGGCACAACATCCATTCTGCATCTGAAACATGGGAGACTGATAAGCAGAGACACTGACCCACTAACACAAGGCAACAGAGAAGCTTTCTTGGACTTCTGTGTGTGCTGGTGCCAAGGAACAGAATCAGGTTAACACTAACAAAAAGCTGAAATAGGCCTAAAAAAAACATTGAATACAGCTGAGCAAATATCATCTAAATATGATAGAAGTGGTGGTTTTCAAAGGCTTCCTTTTCATTGACACAAACTTGCCACATTTGTGCTGATTGAGCCAAAAATACTTCAATCCTACCTGCTTACACTGTTCTTAAGCAGCAGACGACAGGTTTTTTAAGGCAGTTTTTAATACTTTAGCATCCATCATCTTTTGGCAACGACAGAAACACAATCTGTCTCAATGAAACCATATGCAGTGAATGCTGAGAAACTACACTCTACATTTATATCAGCAAGTCTAAAATACTCTTACGTTCCTGATTTAACTTTCATCTGAAATTATGTGCCAAACTATCTATCTATGTTTTGTATCTTATATTCCTTGATTTTCTTTGCTGAGATAACTTCTTTAAGTTCAAGTATACTTAAACAAGCAGCTTTACTCATCATTTCAAAATGTCCTTAAAAAAAACTGTCTGACTGTGATGGGTTAAATTGTATTCTTTAACTGTTGGCATCAACAGCAAGTTACCTTTTTGAGCGGAATAGTCTGAATCCACTCCATGGAGTTCACGTCAAAGACATCAACTGCATTTTCACTGTACACAGAGAGGTATGGTGCATTGTAACCTGACAAGGAAGGATCAGGTATATTGTTACGTGCCTTTAGACAAGGCATAATATACAATTTTGTTATGTATGTTTAATTGTAATGATTAAAAAACACAATCCAACAACAACTTCTGTTTGCAAAATGTGTTTTAACTCAAAATATTACTGTAAAATTTATTCTGAAGGCAAAACATTATCAAAAAAAATCTAAAACCTCAGTATGATTTTCCTTTTAAATCTGCAGAATCAAGAAAACAAAACGAAACAAAACAACTTCTTGAACTAAACTCACTCTGCAAAACACTCATGTTGTTCAAAAAACACTCTCTCTCCAAAAGCCCTATTTTTAAGAGTTTATATTTTGCAAATTATATGGTAGGAAAATATATCATTCTACTTAATAACAGCCATTTGAACAAACTCAGCTCCTAGTTCTGGACTGCGTACTAACCAAACCTCAGCTGGGACTAAGTGCCATGAGAGAGTCAAGACAGATGAAGGGAATGCTGTGCTACTCATCTGACCCACCTCTCTGCCTGGAGTTTGTTCCAATGGGGCACTTCTGAAGCAGAACTTTGCATTTTCACATCCGCAACAAAACTGCCTATCAAGACTAACAAAAGCATAAAACTTGTGTTCAAACATGACTGCTCTGCTATAAAGTAGGTATCGATTCAGAAGTCAAATTAGGTCACTTCACTGAGGTAACCAAACCCCCGCCACGGATGGCAATGATCAGTATAGATGCCCTGCATGTGAAAAAAATGGTCTTCACAGTGCTATCTAGCACACAATCTTTTATTCTGATCCATTTATTCTCTGAGTCCCTACAGTGAACAGGAATAAAAACCTCTGGGGAAAGGCAAGTCATATTCCAGATTGCATCAGAAAAGTCTGAATTACAATACTGACCTAAAATACATTCAAATTTTAAGGCTTTGAATGGTATTAATCTAGTTTCAGTGGTATTGAATGCATAATATCTTTTTTAGCCTCTATAGGACCTGAGGATCTCCAGCTGCTTTAGAGATCAGGTCATGTGTTTAAGCATTTGTTACCAGGTAACCAAGTTTGAAATCCTGACCCTCCACTTTTCTTTAAGTTAAAGCAGTATAGGTCAGCTACAGGGCTGTCAAAACTGGTGTCAGTGAAACCAGGATTAAACTCTCTGACTAGATTTTGAGATGTGGGCAGAATTTGAGAGGGTTCCTTTATCAGTCAGAGAATTTTGCTTGAACTTCACATCAGATGGCATGTCACATCAAATGGGGATACTAATCCAAGTTGTGGGCCTTTGAACAGACAATAACAGGTACACACAGAGAACAACTTACAGCAAGAAGTTGGAGTTGCGGGCCACATCAGTTCTTGTTGTCTCGATCTTCGGCCCTGGCAGTCAACGTAAACCCCTACGCTGCTAAAACACAGCAGGTATTCCTTATTTGAGATTTCGACTGCACAGATGGCATCAGTTGGCTGCTGTGAGATAAATGATAGCGTGTGGTCATCCGGATGAAGCAGACTGTATGGGCTGCCTTCTCCATGAAGGGGATATTTTAAGAAACCCGACTGGTAGCCCACACAGAGACGTTCACTGAAGACTGACATCCACTGGACATTCCCCTGGACTTGGATCTCTTTGATCTTTTTGTGGCGTGTCTTACTCTGATTCAGTTCGTAACACAGGACCTGCCTTTTCATAGCTACACAGAGGCAAGTAAGGGCTCCATGGAGTGCATGTCCAGAAACTACAGACTGGCAGCCTTTTGTTTCTGCCAACTTATAAAACTCAGTCTCCCTTCCATCCAGGGCAGCCATGGGGAAGAGTCGCACGTGACGGTTTCGCCCTGAGATCACTGCGATGAGCTGTTCATTTGGGATAAGCTCAATCTGATGAACCTTCTTATTGTCACCAACACGAATAATTTCTAAAATGAAAACAAAACAAAACCCCAAACCCAAGTAAATAATGTTAAAGCGTAAGCTGATTTACAAATATACATTTGCAGAGGACTAAGCTACGATGCAAACCCAAGAAATTTCCTTGTTGCTTCTTGTGATTTTACAGAATGCAGAATCAAAACTCATTTGTTAATAGTATCAGACCTGGTGATGCTGGACAGAACTTCGGAGTTTTCCCCACCAAAAAAAGGGAAAGAAAAAGGGAGGTGCAGATTCTATGCAATAAAACTACAATATTACTTCAGTATTCATTTCAAAGATGAACAATTACTGAGTAATGGAAAAAAAAACACACTAAAATTAAACACATTTTTGAAATAGCTTTGGCATCTGTTATTATGTATCTTAACTCCACTGAATGTAGACTTTCATTTCTCTACGAACAAGGAGGTTACTGAGATGGTAGAGCTGTGCTCCCTACCGAGTGCCACAGCAGGAGACCAAGAGACAATAATCATGAATTGAAAAAGGAGAGGTTCCACTTGGATATAAAGAAAATGTTTAACTGTGAGACTAATTAAACATCAGAAGAGGCTGCCCAGAGAAGTTCTAGCATCTCTGTCTTGGCAGGCTTTCAAGGCTCGATGGGACAAAGTCCTCAGCAGCCTGGCCTGAATTCCATATTGACCCTGCTTCGAAAAAGTGAACAAAATCTTCACATTTCAGATATTGGATCCCTGGAGACACTAAGCAGAAAGCTCACAGAACAGCTTGGTTTTCAGTTCTTATCTGGGGCTATCCAGCTGATAACCTTTCATAATCTTTAATTTTTTTCAGCTTACAGAGGATAAGGAAAGAGAACAAAGCTTACAAATGACTTTCTAATCATTTAATATTAAGATAATTGTTAACAGTTCTTGATTTCTTACCGTCTTTGGTGACGTGCACAACAAATAACCCTTCTTCATTACCCAGGGCTATTCTTTCGTGGTCTATGATATTAAAGAAAAGAAAAATGTTATTTCTCTTTGGAAACACTTCTTCAACATAAGCAATAATTCTGATGAATAGAGACAGCTTTTTAATATCTTGAGCTAAAGCAATGTAACCACATAAATTCATGTAACAGAAATAACACTGATAACCTCCCAAATGCCTTAAAGAAAAGTCTTCTCTCATTTTTCACATTTGTAGAAATCACACCAAGAAACTTTAACAGCGGCATTTAAAATGACTGAACTGGTTCTCTGCTCTCAAATTTTACTTCTGGAGCCAGAAGCAGACCCATTGATTTAAATCTAGTCTATAGTGCTAATTTTGCCTAGATAAGGAATTGTGTTTACAAAATACCAGAAGAGCCATATCCAATTGTCAGTCAAAAATGATTAATAATTATAGGCATGTGTGCAAGGAGAATACTTTTACAGATCAGAGATCTGACAGAGACACAGTGCCGACATTTGTCATAAGCCCATAGATATGGGATAAAAAACACTATGTATTATTTGTTCACTATTTATGTTATTTAATATGCTTTTTGCTAAAAAAAAACCACTTTCAGCAAACCCATTGAGGAGGCCATCAGGAATCAGCTAGCTTAGTCTGCTTTATTCAGACAAAATCAGAATCTCAGAGAGGAATTTCTTCCAATAAATTTTTTCTTATTCATTTCATACCTATGATGGCAGCTGACTGTGTTGTTTTGATGAGGGGTAAGGTGCTGTCATAAGCCTCTTTTGGAACATAGACTGAGCGGTCTTTGAACTTGTTCTTCTTCAAGATCCTATGCAATTCATTCAGCACTCCTACCCACTTGCTTTTTTCATTCTCACCGTCTGCTAGAATCAGGATTGAACACTTATTACTGGATGCAGAGAGCTGGGAAGCTGTGACCTGGAAAATTTTTAAACGCATACTTTAAGTCACAAGTGATAAAAAAATTCATCACGATCACTGATATGAAGATATCAGATGCCCATAAGTGCTGTTTTAACTAGCTGTCTGTACTAAGAATGCAAAAATATGTCCTTAGTTAACAGAAAAACATAATCAAGAATCCACAGCAGAAAATACTAGACTGTACTAACTCAGCAAAATACTGAGAAAACTTCAATTTCATTTGTATTAGCTCTATAATCTCCACCCTAATTTTACTAGGCATCTGTTGATCACAATTGTTTAATGAAAAGCTTTTCTTACAAAATATTCTGCATTTTTATGGACTAGTAATTCCAGTTAACAATGTAATGGAATGGGAATGGTATTTATGACAGAATGATCTACGACCCTTTCCTGCACTTAGTGCAGCTGATACAGATTATAACGAAAAGCTTTTTCCAAGTTTGCCTTCTATTAATATGCAGAATAATGAACGATGGAAAAGTAGTAAAAAACAAGGAGTTAAATATAATGGTAAAGAAATGATGGTGGTATTATTAAGACCAATGCCAAGATATTTCAGGGAGGTCAAGGCTTCAAGGAAGTATCTAGTAGAAATAAGAGTAAGAATAGAAAAAAACCATGACAACAAAATTCTGATACCATGTACTTAACATAAATTTTTATTGAATATTTTTATAGTAGATTTCTATACTAACTATCTGATGAATGGGAGTTTTTAAAAGATTAACTGCTTATGTACAAATAAAATACACATAATAAAAGCTTGAGAAATAATACAATGAATTAAAATGATAGATGGCTGAACTTTAGAAAATGAAAATGTATAATGTCATGAACAGAAGAACACAGATGACTAACAAAAGTTGAGAAAAATATATCTTATTTCAAAGGTAAGAAAACAAAATCTATGCAAGGGGAGATCAGGGCTTGACTGAGGGTACCACCACGATCTTTACTTGAGGTATGTACAGAATTCTATGCGTTGTTGCAGCCATGGACCATATAATCAGAGCTTGCAAAGGAGAGAAAATACTAGCAGACAGTCAATGAATGCACGCTGTTCATCACACTGGGAAATGTAGGTTCAAAATATACCTACTTACTCTAAAGATACAGGGAATATCTTTTCGATTTGCATGGATGACATCTGAAGCCAAGACGGAACTCACCGAGAATTCTTCATCCCTTACAGAGACCACAAACATCATTTAAATAGAGTTAAAGACAGTAAAAGTCTACATCTTTGTTTTTACCTTATATTTCCATAGTACCATTAGCCTTGTTTTGTTAAGGACACAAGAAGATAGCACCAGGATCTGAATTCTAAAATAATCCCAACTTTCCTCTTTATCTGCAGATATAACTCACAAATGTAACATAAACCTAAGCCTCCAGTGAAATCAGAAGACTTCCATTAATACAGAAAACATTGGAAACAAACTATTTGGCCCTTCTGAATCAAAATTGTATACATTTTATCCTGTAACAAGGTTTCGCCTGTCTTTCAAAATTGTATTTGACACCCGAATAAAGTAATTTTGTTCTTTATTCATTTCCTTATCTTCTACACATCTGGATAGGCACATTTAGGCACAGAAAACAATAATGAAGTTAGAATTGCAACATATGAATACACAAGTGAAGTTCAGGATAACTTCCAACAGCAGAAGTTAGAAGTCCAGAACAAGGATTACAATGTTTCGTACATGCCCTGGAGCTTGCTTATGGATTCTACAAAAAGGGAAGGGACAGAAAAACTCCTCAAGGTTTTGGAAAGCTCCCACTTGGTGTGGCACAGCTTACCTCATGTCAATAACCTGGCTCACTACCACACTGGGCTGGGATGCTTTTCCTTCTGCTACATCATACAGGAAGAGTTTGAAATCACAGATCACTGCCAGTGCTCTCTGCCAACCCTTCTTTACTCCAGCTGGTTTTGGTACCTTCAGCAAAATAAATTCAATCAACTTTCTTTAAACTTGTGTCCAGTCAGAAATGAAACTGTGCAAATATCAATTCTCCCATCTACACCAATAAGTTTCTGTTCAGTGGTAACATCAAGCAACATAAGCAATAGCATACATGAAATAAAAACAGTAAATACAGCTGTGTATATATACTATGATGGATTATTGTTTAAAAAATCTCAGCACTACATATTCTCTCTCATTAGTTCATAAACTCATTCAATGACATATTGATAAAAGAAAGAAACCCAACTGTAGTTTGTCAGTGGGCTCAAACTTCGTAATGTAGCTTTTTAGCATTTCTTAAGAACGTCAACATTAGCAAAGTGGCAGCACTAGTATTACTAGATGGCCCTGGAAGATGATCTGATCTTGAGATGATCTATTCAAGATCAGCTTACAATATAGTGGATGATAGAGGCAGAGAAAATTACTTTTGAAAACACTGGAATTGCTTCATGAAAATTAAGGTCTTAGGTTCCAAACTGTTACTTTCAGATATAATTGGAACCTCTCCCCTTCTCCCTCCCATATTAAATTAAATTTCAAGCCCAGAAAACAATAAATATAACAGAAGTGCACCAAATGGAGCAACCTGATACTCACACGGACATGGGCTTCATATGCTGTTCCTATGCCTTTCTGTGGATCTATCCCCAAAGGACCCTTGGTCTGCTCAGGAGGGATTGGACACACTGCTGGCGCCTTGTCTGCGCAGGTTACGTGGCAGGAGAACCCACATACTTGAAAGGAAGAGTAGCAACAAAAGAGTATGATGATTTAATGATTATTTCTTTTGCAGTGCAAAAGCTATGGTAATAATGATGACATATATGAAATGGTCCACTCTATTTCTTTTTTAAAGGGCACACCTTTAGTTGACCAATAACTGAACAGTCTCCCTGAACTTTGTGACACCAAGGCAGAAAGGTAAGTTTGCACACAGGAGCAGCACATGATCTGAACTCATCCACCTTCAGATTTTCCCACATCCAGAGCTGTATGGATACGTGGTTTGGTTTCATTCAGATAAGAAAGAGCCTGGTGAAAAGCTCACTGAATGACTGGTGTATCCCTTTTTTTCTAGGTCACTCCTCTAAATGATATGTGCTATTCTGTGCATATACAAACCTAGTATAAAGCAGACCTGGAGGACAGAAAATTTGGTACCTAAAAACTACGCTGTCTTTATCATTTTGCCATTAGTCATAAAGCAAAACAGCTGTCAGCACACTTGACCACCGCCCGTTGCTCTTTATTGCTATTTTAAATTTAAAACAAACTAAACTAATCTTATTGCCACCAGTCAAAATAAGTGTGTCCCCAGTTAACTGGGTAATCCCTTATGTAAGATACTCAAAGTGTATGGCTTCCACTGTTAAACTGCAGCATGCTTACCTTTTGTTAAGGTAACTGCTACTTACCTTTGTTAAGTAAACTTAAATACAAATAAAATATAAATAAAATGTAAATGAAAAAAATGTAAATATAAGACTCCAGCTTTACTGGATTTTTATAGCACTTCAGAGGTGCAAGTTGCATGGTAAACCTTCAATTCCCATTTCCTCTTTTCACACTTACCTTCACAGGTGCAGCCCTGTCTTATCAAACCAACCATCAGAGATGTGCACTGATTGCATTTTGTTGGGGTATTAAATGATTTCACTACAAATTGGTGGGCTTTAGGCTGTGAAACAGACAGACAAAAACATTAACACTTGAAACAACTTTTGAAGAAGAACCAAAATTATTTTTATTCACAGACTTAATGCATAAGTGCATTTTAAAAAAATGTAACTTATTTGTGTTTGCTGAAATGAGATCCAAGTTCCTAATACACAGGCTGAAAATATCCTTAGTGATAATTTAACACCAAGCCTTGTAAACTAAACTAGGGAAACTGGACCTTGTCTCAGGACATGAGGTCACTTACATTGCTGATAGGAAAGTGGCCAGGGTCTGTCTGTACATTATCACCTTACACTCTAGAAACTGAACATGTGGGTGCATGTATTATCCAAGAGGCACATTTAAATGCTTAGCCACCATGATTGGTGCCTTAGTTGGAAGCAAAACACTAAACATTTTCAAAATTCTACTTTTTATAGCAGAAGGAATTAGAGTCCAGTTTTATGGCGTCAGGTGATTTTTACAGCAAAAGTAAAATGACATCGATTTAGAAGGGACTTCTCCTTAGTTCCTGGGAACACGGACTATAATCTAGAGTAATAATGTATGTGGATCTGAAATGAGACAACTTTTGCAGGCCAATTTAATAGACAGGAATATTAACATTTAATTCACTTTCCATTTTTTCAGAGAGTAAGATAACCCACACTTAAGGGCTCAAACTTCTTCCATATTTAATGACAGTTTTACTGTTACACTGGGAGCTTTCTGTCTACAGATGGACGTTTTATTTTCAAACTGCAGGGAAATAAAATGTAGCTTTCAAAACTAATGCTAAATAAAAGAAGATGCCATACGAAACATAATAAATTAGAAGAACTATCATTATGCAGCATTATGACAAAATGCTTACAGAAATGGCACAATGTGCTCAGTACAAACTATTTTACATGATTTCAAGTTACAAATGCATATGATAACTTTTAATGGATCTGGTAAAAATATTGCCAATCCGAAAATATACTGCCTGCAGAAATAACTTGCTTAGTTTTACTTTACATAAATGAAAGAAATTTTCTGCTACTTCTGCCATTTATCAAAGCCCATCTATTTCAAAGATTTACTTTATTTTTTAATTCCCAAAACGGTCATTTTTAATATAGTAGATTCCTTAGCCATTGAGAAATTTCTGCAACTTTTATGAAAAGAAATTTCCTTTAGTAGCTTGTATCCTATTCCTCGTTTCTCTCAATACACGCAACTCCTCTGTGCATTAGTGTGCAACTGCCTCATTCCGACAGCGGCAACTTAATTTCAACAACTGATGTAAAATAACTATTTATGAAAGCAAAAGGCAGGACGGAAAAATGGAATTCCTTCTCCCAACCTAGAGTTGTAGCATTGGCTGTAGTGCCCACTCTGCACTGAAAAAAAATATGTAACCTGACTGTTTCGCCTCAGGCCTACTCTTGCCTTTTCTCAAAAGAATCATCTATGCTATTCTGAGACCTCAGTTTATTGTGGACAGAGCACAGAGGAGGCTTGCTCAGTCAGATGCTGGAAACGGCCTCTTTGTAGGAAGTCTCTTCTCCTTTCAGCACGTTCTAGTTCAATCACTTCCTTCTAATGTTGAAGCCCGTGTTTTGCTACTGCACCGGCACATCCTGCCCAACTTGTCACACCACGGTGTGAGAATGGGGCTGCTGAGCTTTCGGAGAGCAACCAGCATTCCTATAAAATAACTGCTAGGCAGCTCTAGAACGATCATTATGACACACAGCTCCCCTGAAGCTGTTGCCCAGACGTGGCATCTTTCCCCTTGCTCCATAGAATGTGTGAGCACTTGACTGAGTACCTTTGGTGCAGAGAGTCCCGATCCAATATAGGCTGTCCTCATGGTCGGCGTGTGAATTGAACACGGAGGATGATCCACAACCTGAAGAAAGCCCTCAAAGGATCAATAAGACATCAAATGCGCGTTAACAAAGACAGCCTGAGTAAAGCAAAAAGACTATAAGCTGCCCCCATCACATATCTCCCCAAGAAGACAGGGAATGAAACCACACTGACTAAAATAGGAAAGGACTCAAGAAAACAGATCTTATTTCTCAGCAAAATATTGCATGAGATTCACTTCTTACAAGACAAAAACAGTTTTTTATTATATGCAACACTTTGCTGAATCTTCTTCCATATAAAATAATCAGAAAGATAAATTATTTTAATGGGAAGGAGATACATCATTACAGTTGCAGAACCTTGCTAATATTTTGCATTGGCTACTGCTTCAAAAGCACTCAGAAATATGCTGTTGCACCAAACCACAGCATAACATTAATATTTTGCAAACATTTCTTAAATAATCATGACTAAGGAGAAGTTACAAAGATAGATTATATTTAATAATTGATTCCACATATATTTCCCAGGCCTAATCAACTAACCATATGTGAAAGGAAATTTAATATTCCTCAAAATGCAGTTCACCAGTAGTGCACTAAGCTATTTACCAGTAGTGCACTAGGCTATTTACAATGTCCTAAATAGTCTTTGCAGGAGAACATGCTTCACTCCAAACGAAAGGATTTGCAACAGTAGTTTTTATGAGATTCTAACTGCTACTCCTAAAGGAAAGGAAAGGAAAAGGAAAGGAAAAGGAAAGGAAAAGGAAAGGAAAAGGAAAGGAAAAGGAAAGGAAAAGGAAAGGAAAAGGAAAGGAAAAGGAAAGGAAAAGGAAAGGAAAAGGAAAGGAAAAGGAAAGGAAAAGGAAAGGAAAAGGAAAGGAAAAGGAAAGGAAAAGGAAAGGAAAAGGAAAGGAAAAGGAAAGGAAAAGGAAAGGAAAAGGAAAGGAAAAGGAAAGGAAAAGGAAAGGAAAAGGAAAGGAAAAGGAAAGGAAAAGGAAAGGAAAAGGAAAGGAAAAGGAAAGGAAAAGGAAAGGAAATCTGTGAACACCAAGTACCTCAATTGGTTCAATCTCACTGGCTGTAGAAGGAGACCTTGATCTCGAATGGAGGTGAGACTTGATATCTTCATCCCGTGATGCAGTATTAGACAATGTAAAGTTCTCAACTGAATCAATCTATGGAAATAATCCAAGAGTGGGGAAAAATAATAATCAATAACATCGTTTAAAAAAAAGAATTGTTGACTCTAACCAAAATAAAATATGGAAGTTGTAGAATTCCTAAAGTGAGAATTGAGAGGAAAAAAAAAAGAAGTTTTAAGCAATTCCCTAATTAAGCTACAGAAGCTAAAGGAAAACTCTTAAATGTGAAGATGCCAAGACTACTGCTGAGAGGTGAGCACATGCATAACAGCTGCTAGTTCAGGGGCCTGAAGAGCGCTTGTAGAGACCTGTAATTCTGCATTTTTAAAGACTGAATATTTTCTAAACACTACTATTCTGTTCACCGGTAGTAGAGACTTGTTAGAAGTGAATTCCCATATGCTGAAACAATGAAATTTATGAGAAAATAAGGAGGAAAAACAAAGCAAATACTGCATTTCCCTAGGTAAGTGTTAATAATACTCCTAGAGAATTGATTTTTGTGCATCATTTGAACTACAAAAAGGGCAATCAACTTTATTAGGAATGCAGATGGCTCAGGGGGCGATTTTCTTGGTCCTAGTTATATCACAAAACTAAGTCAAACATCAGATATAACAAACCAACAGGGCGTATTGGCATGATCTTATATTTTGTAAAAAAAGTCATCTTGGATGAATCTTCCCCAATGCAGCCTTCTGCAAGGACAACAGAAACTCTCAAAGGGATACACTTGTTTTCTACATGCATATCATGTATTTCAAGCATTGTGGCAAATATTAGCAATAAGGTAACATTTTGTGCCCAGACTTATCAGAAGCAAATTATAATTGAATGCTTTACGCAGTATTAGAAACATTCATGCCCTTAATCAATAAATCTTCAGATATAGGGCAGCCTCAACTATTTTTACCTTTTTTTTCTTTTTAAAAACAAATCTAGTTATGTGTCCACTAGATATATGGAGGCCACTCCAAGACTATTTAATCTAGAAAAAATCAAACATCTTCTTAACAATATTACTAAGAAAATTAAGTCCAACGAGTAACTGCAAGTGAATTTTTCATATCAAGAAACAGACATTGCTTTTCTTTGGTAAGTTAAATTCAGAGATCTAATCTCTCATCTCCTAAGTGTTTCCAGATGGAGATTCAGAACACTCTCCCTTTCAAAGGGACATCTACGCACGAAAGAACACTTCATGGCACCTCTTAAAAAACTTAGTAAAAGAATAATATGAATAGCAGAACTTTTCTAAAAAGTGCTACAAAGCTTTTGTGGTTAGAAGACAACTACTGACCTAGTTTAAAAAGACAAAAAAGAAGTATTTTTACATTACCTACAAACATAAAAAGCATTCAAAGCACATAAAACCTGATCCACCGTTTCTGAATTGGAGGGGAATTTAAACCAACTTTAGTGCAGAAGCAGAGCCTAAAGCTCTTTAAGTGCTCAGGTTTCTCACTCTAAAGAGAATGAAGCACTAAAGCAACCTAACTCAACTACGGTGAAAAGCTCAAGTGGACCATACTAACACCGCAAAAATTAAAGTAACCCACTGAGTTATAAAAAGAACATTTCAATTGTAATATCTGTCTTTCTCGGGATAACCTGGCTGGTGGTCTTACACAGGACGAGGTGTTTGGGTGCTGGTCTAAACACAAGGTCACTGCTCTGGACTGAGCCCAAGCTGCCTGGTACTTCACTGCATGTTGAGGGGAGGAGAACGTTGGCACTGGAACCACAGTTTTGGCTGAGGAGTCTCGGTAAGCTCACCTGAGATGATTCTCATTTGCCCTTGTTTATTGAATATTTGTTCTATTTTTATGCTTTCCTATCACCATATGTACATACAAGAAGGAAAGAAAGTGGTGCAAGTTCATGATGGACATCACATATGTGGTCAGATAAAGCTCTGCAGGGCAGGCGTCCAGCGGGCGCAGGCAGTCGCACGGCTCTGCTCCCTGCCCTTCCACAGGGGCAGGCAGCGGAGCGGCCCTTGCCTGCCAGCCTCCACACGAGCACTTTGCGTGGCATCCCCACGTCCTGACGTGGCACCCCAAGCACCCGCGAGTTCCTAAACCAAGCGAGTTCCTGAAGCTTTCAGCCCAGAGCTGCAAAACAACAAGCAGCGCAGCGGCGGCGGCGGCAGCAGACAGCAGCAGCAGACAGCAGGAGCACGGGACATGCAGCACACACAATCCATACATGAAACAAAGGCATGTACACGACAGGCAAAAAAGAAGGGCCAGAAAGAATAAGACGGCCTCTTACACGTCTGCCTTTGTTAGCTGGAATACAGGAAGGAGAGCGCTTTAACAGAGAGAGGAGGAGAAGGTGTTACAAAACCAGAGACCCACACGCGTGCCTGCCCACGACTCGCCGCGCTGGCAGCGGCGCCGCTGCAGACACACACCAACACGCTCAGTTTTAAAGGCATCTCGGAAACAACACATTCTGGGGCCACAAGAGGAAAGCAACACCAAAGAGAAACGGTTATTACGAAGTCTGTAGTTTTACACTGGACAAGGACAGCGAACAACTGCAGACTGGGTTGGACCAATGAAGCAGTCAGCCTCTGTGTGCTAAGGTGGGTGTGAAGGAAGGGTTAAGAACATTCTTTTTAATTCATCGTGTGTTAGTAACAGGGGGGAAGTGATCTTTTCTAACATGTGAGGAAAATGATTTTGTCAGAGGAATACTGCATTCCATTTTATTGTTATTAAATAATAAATCTGATTTAAAATAAAACAACTCAACTGTTTCTAATAGCTAGAGAGATATACAAGGCCTAGCCTTGCAAAAAAGCCTCAGCATTTCCTTTATAAGACATTTCCTCACAGACATAAGAAACATGCCTAAATGATGCTACTGAGAGCTGGCGTGGAAAATACAGGATAAAGAGCTGTGAAGATCTAGAACTGAATACCTTAGTGTCATGGAGGTGTCTTCCCTCCCCACCCAAATCAGAAATAAAGGGTAGCAAAACTGACTCCTGCTCCTTTTGGTGCCTTCCTTTGTGCACAGGAGACAAAAGGGTCATTTTTGGACACATGGCTTTTCCCAGCTAGGAGAGCCAGAGCATCAGTTCTGCTATGCTGCCAAGAGTACCCTCCCTGCGGAGGATACACGGATGGACCAGAAGTGACTCTCAGCCACCTGCACAGGGATCTACCACTGCTCTTGCTCAGCATCTGCAGGCTACCGCCAGAGGCAGCTGGACTTCTATTTTTATTTCTCTTCAGAAAAAGTTGAGAAATTACCATTTTCTTGTGGACACAATTAGCATTAACTGCAATAATTCACAGTGTGCTAGAGATAATTACATTATTTGGATGGCAGACCCAGAAGGCATTTCTCATCTTAATGAACTTCAAATGCAATCAGTGGGCCAAGCTCAGTGCTGCTTACATACACATCTATAGCATGTAGACTTCAGAGACGTTGCAAGGAGCGCTCTGTAAGGGCACTGCATCTTATTTTAGACTCCCTCTGCCCCTTCGGAATGGCATGGGGAGGCTGGAGAAACCAGAGAGGCCCTCAGGCATACTTCCCTCAGGCTCATAATTCCTGCAGCGCCCTTCCTGACCCCATGAGGTACTGCAGCACTGCACGAGTTCGAGGACTCCTAACTCTTCCTTGGTTGTCATGCGCAGGACCCACATCCATCTCAGGTTTTGCTGCACACGGATTTTCCCTTCAAGGAAATTACTGTCCAAAAGAGACACTGCCTGGGAGAATGGAGATCACAACCATAGGGAGGGTTGTTTGCTCTCTTAAAGACCCTTAGTTTCTTTTAAGCTCTCCCTGATATAATGACATTGAACCCATTCATTAATAATCATTAATTCTGGCAATTCAGAGGTTGTGTATTAAGCAACTATGAATGAATAAATAATGATCTAAGAAATGAAAGATGCAGAACTGACTGAGTAAAAATGTAAGTAGATATCTCATTCAATCTCTAAATGGGGACACCACCTTTGATTTTCTTTCTTATAAGCACAACATACCTAAACAAATCTGCTATTTGTCTGTAAGGTACTCTTCCTTAACATACATGTCAATACCTAGAATATTATCAAAGACAGGCATTTGAAAAGATTTGATCTGAGGGGACAGATCTAGCAGAATGCCTCAAAGGAGGTACCCCAGCCTTGGAGAATTTTTTGCTTGCCCAGTAAAGAATGGGATGTTTGTCAAAATGTTTGCAAAAAAAAAAAAGTGCTGTCCTCTTAAAGAAAAAAGAAAAATAAATAAATAAATAAATAAACCCCCAAACAAGCAGTGCTCCATTCTGTATTTATGGATGTCTTTCAAAACTAACTAGATTGCAAACAAGGAAACTTTCCTATCCTATGTTTACCCATGCCAAATAGAAGATGATCACTTACTGTCCCACATAGGCAGTTAATTACTATTTACCAGGTCTCAGGCGAGAGTAACATATTTCTAAAAGCAACTTTACGGGAAAGAACTTGCTGATCTGAACTAGCTATTCACAATATTTTCGCAACGGAGATCCTTCTTTAATGCAGTGGGGGATATAAGTATTTATTTATTAGTAAGCTAGCAACAGAGAAAACGGTTCTGTACAGCCCATACACTCTACCGGCATCATCATATCATTCACTATAGGCATTTCTACTGTAAAATTAATTATTCTGCATTTAATGTACTGGGACCAAACTATACTACTATATACATATATGTATAGATATGTGTGTATGTGTATACACATATATACAAACACACACAAACATACACATACAGTATACAAAGAGAGTTGTAATGGACAGCGCTCTACAAAGGATGCATAGTATATATGTAGATTTATACATGTTCTTAATTAATTATGTGCCTACTACTTGGGTCTGGAAGAAATATAATGCAGTCAATTTATATCTTTCAGTATAGCTCCCTCAGTATGCAATTAATCAGGTAAATATTTCAGCATCATCATGATTAAAAATATTAGTATTTCAAGGGGCAATAAGAAGAGATCAAGAAAATCACTTCGATTATAATTGAGTTTGCAGTGATATTATATATATATACATCATTGATACATAGATATATAGAAAAGAAACAATATTTTGTTTGAGCACAAGAAATTACCTGCATGCAAAGAAAAAAGAGGTCACTGAAGCGACCAGAAAACTTCTGGAAACAACTAATGAAATAGTAGGTAAAGTAGTAAGATGAAACAAGAGAATAAATGCAATAAACCATTTACTAGGACCATCTTCTAGAGGCCACATCAGTAGATTAGGCCCCAAAGCAGCTACTCCATATTAGGGAAAACCTTTTTCAATCAAGAATTCTTTATCTACACCAAAAGAAAAAACACTATATTAAAATTGCACATCTATCTATACGGATAGATGTAAACATGCTATTACAGAAATATTCTCTGTTCTTCCTTCCCTTGAAGAATTTTTAAGTTGACTGCATTACTGTTTGAATAGCCCAAATCAATCAAGCGATCTCTTTTATTGAGGGATTTACTGATTTGAAAGCTCAAGACTTACGCCATCCATAAAATCAATCAATGAGGATGAAGAGGAAGAAAAGGAATCCTATTTTAATGAAAACAGCAGTAAAAAAAAAAAGAGAGAAAAAAAAGGAGAGAAAGAGATGGATGACAAAAACTGTTGAATAGAAACAAAAGTGCATAAAACAAATAAAGGATGAAAAAACTTAATAAACATACAGTACCAATGATTTATGGAATGCATTCAACGTTTTGCACCTTTACACTGTTTCTCTCATTTTTATTTAACAGGTATCTGTATTACCTAGCATTTTTCAGAACAAAAGTCTTTGTTCATTATGAAATTGGGAAAAATTCTGTATACAACATTCTAAAGTGAATACACTATGATCACTTGCATTCAAGAGAAGAGACCCAATACTTTCATTAATGTTTCTCATGTATCATTATATCTGGCAATTATCATTAAAATACTGTATGAAACTCTAAGCAATTATGCACCTACTCTGCATGTAACAGCAAGAATAGAGAGTTCTGTTCAGTAGCAAAGACATTCAAAGAGTGGTTCACTTACTTCATATTGATCCAGAGCAGAGGTAGGCGCATTCAAAAATGCCAAGAAAGAATTCTGTGAGTCTTGGTGCTTTACACCTAGAAAACAGCAGCAAGTTTTTAAGCTACAGAAAAATGACCTTTTCATGGAGGACCTTTGCTGTGCTGGGTCAGGGTTTGAGTATTCACCTGAGCCATTAATTTGTTACTGAGCTGTCACATTTGATCTGTTTTCCAGACTAATTTTCCTTTTATATATATATATACACCTACTAAGTACATGTGTGATGTGAATGCAGCTTTTATTTTCCACATGTGCTTGCCCATCAAGCAGAAGGCCGAGGATGCTCACGTGCTGATGCCCATGCACAAGAGGCACTCACCAACCCAGCAGGTGCCAGCCCTGCCCAGATCACCCTCCAGGTGCTCTGCCAGCGACAAGAAGCCTCAGCAAGCAGCACACCAAATCTACAAGTAATTTCAGTTCCCTGATGCATGCTCTCAGCCACCACTCACTTTTGAATGCATAAAAATAAGAGAGTCCTGGGTAAAGCTTCCCAGGCCAGGGAGTAGTTTGCAGCCAGCAAGGGGAACGGCAGCCCTGCATCCTCCAAGGACACACAGGCTAGGCTAGCTGGAGTGTTATTTGAATGCATTTGTCTGATCTCTCTTTTTTGGCATAGATCAAGTCTTGGTGTGGGTGTATTTAACCACATTATTTATATTTGTGCATATATTAAATGCATATGCATTTATGTGCATATTTAAAACCCCGCTCCCTGAACAATATGGAAGTATTATATGTACTTGTGATGACCAGAGCCTGCAGGAATGTTTGCTGCTTGAAAGATTGATGCAATCACAGGTCATCTGTTCTTTAAAAAAAAAATGCTGTATTTCGGTCTAACTGGCGATATTACCCTGCTCTAAATACAACCATGAGATGACATAAAGACCCCTTTCATTTCCAAAATATAAATACATTCGAAATCTACTAGAAGTCTAAGACTCATTCTCAAATTACCCTCTATTTCACAGAATTTTTTTTTTGTGTTTTTTTCCCCACCCTGCTCGTTTTCTGGCACAAATTTATCAGGAGCAAAGGATGCATGTACTCATCTAAATAGTCTCTTTCTAGAAAGTAACGTGGATGTTACTTTCATGACTTTCGTGGACGTTACATAGGAAGTTATTCTGTCACCATATATTGCCTGCACTTAAAGCCTGTATATGGTTCATCCTTCAAACATTAATGTATTTCTTCTTACAGAATGAATCTAGCCCAAATACAACAAGGACTTTGGACTAAGATATGTTTCCAAGGCATATTTAAAAAAAAACACTAGAACTGTATTTATTTACTTGTGTCAAAATCATAATGTTAACTTTTCCTTGAATCATATAATTTTTATCCCCCTCCCCTACTTAAAAAATAAAGAAAAAAAAGATTAAAACTTTGTCTCTATTTCCACAAAAAACCCCAGTAAAGTTTTAACACTGGAAAAATACACATGGTAAAACATTAATTACAAATACTTAACAGACTGTAACCACGCATAACATTTAAGAAAGTTCAAGAACCTATAAATGAAAGTTAAACATTACAAAGCATCATCACCAGGGAAATGCTACCCAGAGTTCCTCTCCAAGAACTCACATAAGTATAATGTGGCTACCAGTGCCAAACATCAAGACAAAGTAAGAGAAATCCCCTAAATTTTATTAGCTGATCAGCACCAATCATTTCTGAATGTTTTTGTATAGGCTTTGTATATTCTTTTACCAGTCAACCAGCGCTCTGAGACCTATATATAGTATATGAATCTTATTGCAATACATTATTGATTGACATTGCATGAGGTTGTAAAGGCTGAACAATATATTACACCCCTATATAGCAATTGTTGCCAGAGTTTTGCAACTTTGGAGTTCAGTTCCTCTACAGAAATATCAGGTAATTCAGTTTGGCCTGAAAAACGATTTATTCCCTTTTGAATTGTAGGATACAAATACTACAGCTACCATTGGAATTGAAAAGAATCAGCCAAATTGCTAATCATCTCGCTATGATTTTTTTTTAATTTCAGAATTACCAAATAGTCTCCTCCCAGCAACAATGCTAAATACTGTTGGAGAGATGCACTGGGATACTCTTGCACATCTACCACACTGCAAACACGCTGTTTGCTAAGTGGTCATAAAACCAATGTGTAAAAACCACTGCAGAAACCCGTGAAAGCCCATGAGCGCTTCCATAACTGTTTTCTCTCAGGGTAGCCAGGCCCAAACATTGATAAATGAAAAACACATTGGCTAGTATTCCCAACACAAAGGGGAAAAACGTATGTATAAATTCTCCAATATTTCTAACAGTTTTCCAATCAATCACTATACATAGGTCAAACAAAAATGATGGAATAATGCAATTTTAACCCAGATAACATCTTACTGGTTCAAGTGTATCAACAAAACTGAAGAATATTGTTAAGTACTCATTGGAAGTGCAAAAACAACTGCTGTGGGTACATCTTACCATGCAATACTCGTGCTTACATTTTGAATGCCAAAGTCTCTTGGTATCATATATCCTGTACTTCATTTGCAGGATGAGACACTTTAATTGATAAGATGTACCCACCAATGTGAAATATGTTCTTATTAACTTGGATATCAATTGCCATACCCTTTTCTGATCTAAGCTCTTCTGTCTCCTTTTTCAGTCTTTCAATATCTGTCAACAGTTCCATGTTCTTCTTCTCAGATTCTTGCAATTTACTTCAAAAGAATACAAACAAAAACCCTATGTAAATACTGAGAACCTGTGATACAAGTCTCTTTTTTTTTACCCATTTCTGCATGTTACTTGGAATACTTTTCAGTTAAAATCAATGCCCAGCAGGTTGTAAGTCAAATGAGGAAGATATCATCAAATGAAGAATGAACTTAGACAGCTGTTAGGAGCCATTTAACTATTTCCATTTACCCTTTAGGTAGGCTCATGTCTCTAATTTCTAAGGAACTGTGTGAGCCTGTATCCTGGGAATGAGAAAAAAAGACCACATCTATTTTTAAACTTAAAATCAGATAATTTAATTTGTTAATTCATAGTGTCTATGAGACTAATAGATTATGCTGAACTATTTTTTCCCTTATTCCAGTTAGTTGTTTCAGTGCTGATTCGCAGCAACTACAACTCCTACACATTTCCACAGCGCTCATCTTCTTCGCCCACCAAAGCAAACACTACTTACTCTGTTCTCAGAGGATACACTGCTGCCTATCACAGTGTCTGCTGGCTTGAAAAGCCCAAGATGGACAAGGTATTCTCAGTTTACAGGTAACATCCTTGAATCTGAGCTCTGCCCAACTGATTTCGCAAGGCTGCAAAATATGTCAGTGCTCCTCAAATTCAACTAAGAGGAGAAATGCATTTTTGCTTGTACTTGAAATTCTGATTTCACATCTGATTGCTCCTCTGCCAGGGGCACTTTTCTTTCCCTGTATTGTCCATCTATGTGCTTAGGTACTGTATAACATGGCAGAGATGATACTGTAAAAATCAAAGAGAAAAAGCCCCGTAAGAGAACAGAATGGGTGTGAATTCAGGAGAAGCTTCAGAAATCCTACTTGAACCTGAGTGTCTACTCCAACCTCCACCAACTCAAAGCAGTAACACTGCGCCTCCAACCCAATGGGATTCACAATTTGGAAATGTAACTATTATCACAGAATATCAAAGAATTAGTTTTCTTCTCATGGAAAATTTGCCATGCTTAATTTTAATTCATATTTTCATAATCATGGGAAGGATATAACCACTATATATTTTGTATTTGATGATCTTTTTGCATTTTAGCTATTAAAATCTCTTTGCTTAATAAAGTGTTAAGAGCTTGTGAAAGGATACAGAACACTAGAAAAAGAAATTTATGTCTTTATTTTTCAGCAGAACATGTAGTGTTCGGCAGCAGTGCTAGCTTATTCATAAACATGCCTCAAAAACAATTTGAAGGATTCTCCTGTAGGCTCAGAAAAGCACATGTTCTATCTTTGATTCTTCTGCAAAACTAGCAAAGGAAACAACAGGAGATAGTTTCAATGTGGGTGCTACAAAGAGGATTCTTGCCATTAAATCTGTTTTCATAGGGTGCCAAAAGATGTCCTTTGTAATAAGTCTGGGGCACTGGAAGATTAGAATATATTGTAAGATATTTTTCAAAAGCCCTCTGTTTGTATTTGAATTTATTACAATAATCACGAGCGATTATACTGTTAAAGATGTCTCCTGAAAGTCTGTCAGATCTTCCAGATTCCAAATTTTCACAGTAAGTGTTCATCTGATCACACAATGAAAAGAGATATGGTCTTTTTTTTCCACACTTGGATATAAGAAACTGAAATATCATTCCTGAACCATTTTTGACTGAGAAGATAGCTAGAAGAGTAGATGATTCTCCCTGGAAAGTATCATAGTCAATAACCATTTAGAACAGTTCAGTCTTACCACTCTGTAGAGATACAGGAAGCTTTGACTTTATTCAGCTCATCTTGAATAGCCTGCTTGGCTCGGATTTCAGCATCAAGAGCTGACTGCAGTTCCAACCTTGCAGACATGTCTAGTTTTGCAAAGCGACGCATCTTCCAAGGCATGTCCTAAGGAAGGATAAAAAGAGGAAGAAGAAATAGCAAAGGGAAAGATGGCAGTAAATGAAGAGTATAATCACCTTCAACTGCAATGTCTATTATGTTCTTAATATAAGACCTTATCAATTCCAAAACACACCAAAAAATCCCAGTGAACATTATTATTACTGCTGTAATTTTTTAACTCAAGTAACAAAAGGCAAGATGATTATTTTATGCTATCACAGAAGAATCTATATTCTAGTTTTGATGTTCATTCATTCAAATGATAGTTATGCAGATCCCTGCAAAAATGTTCATATTTTGTCAAAGTAAAAGACTTCCAGGTTTTCATGATGCACAGTATAGCTACCTTTTCAACAAATTCATAGAACATTTTAAATCAGCTACCTAAACAAAAAACACACTGTTTAGTTAATTGGTAATAAATTTGGCATTTAGGGAAAGGGAACAAATTTAACTTTTGAGTAACACAGACTCTACAGACAGGTTATTACTGGAGCTGAAACTACCAAATTATTTAATTAAATTTATTAAACTACCAAATTTTTTCAAGCCATAAAAAATCTGGTAGATGGAGTTGGAGGCTTACTGTTGCTCTTGCACCCAAACTGGAATTCCTCAGGGCCTCTAGTTCTTCTGTCATTTTGGAAGCCAAGGCTTGAAGATAACCTCGAGCATCTTTTTCGTCACTTACCCTAAACAACACAGTAGAAAGAAAGCAAGCATTGTAACTAAACAACTTAAAATAAAATCAGAACCCTCTTTAACAAAATAGTAACCAGAAAGAGAAGGAAAAAAAAACAGCAACAGCAACAGAAAAGCAGATTACAAACCTCAAATCAAAAAAAGCTACAGAGATCAGGAAAAAAAAAAGAAAGAAAGAAAGAGAAAACCACACAAAACCAAACCTCTGTTGCTTTGAAGAAGCACTCCATTAAACAATACGGATGACTAAGACCAGGAATACAGACACAGAAACTACGTATCTAGGTAAGTAATAATATCCGAGTAAGTATTATCCCAGCATACACATCAGCTACCTGAAATTCAGAGTGTGGCAGATAAATTGTACTTTCAAGGAAGAAATTAAAACAAATAGTATATCCAATAACAATGGGCATAGCCAAAAAGCATTGGAACTAGTGGCTCTCTTTGAGAGTTTGCTTGCTACTGTATCAGTTGGCCATGAGAATTAGTCATTAAACAGTGACTACTACAGATACTACTGTTTCAACAAATAGTGCTTAACTGGGGAGAATGTAATTCTAATGTTATTAAACGGTATAAGCCAGGTGAGGCGCTCTCATCCCCTAAACTTTCTTTCTACCAACACATGCTTTCAGAATGTAAACAGATCAAAGAAAAAGGCAAGTCTGTTTTTTGGATTCTTTGATCATCAGTAGATTCTTCACTTTGTCTTAGGCATTAACACAGGGGCAGGAAAAAAAAAAAAAAAGGCTGCTAGAACCTCAAGGAAACCTCAAGCGAGTTCTCCCGAGTGATGATTTTGTCTCATAGTGATCTCTGCAGAAAGGGATTTTCCCCCAGTGCACATGAAGCAATTTAAGTTTCTCTGAGTGATGCTATGGGGTTCATACAGACGGTGAATACAGAAAAGGAATAATTTGCAAGTTTACTGTTCATTAATAAAAACAATTTAATGTTTCAACAAAAATTTACATGTAGTCACCAGGAAGCAGCAAAGACAGAAGCACAAGCTCT